TTCAACCTTTAATCTCACCTGGGATTAAAATTACCCAAAATAAACTAAGGCTATGATGTTCATCTGTTACCTGCATTCAACCTTTAATCTCACCTGGGATTAAAATTACCCAAAATTACCTGGGATTAAAATTACCCAAAATTACCTGAGATTATCTAGAAACAATGGATTAAGACTTTAGACCTGTCATAATTTATCTCCTTATTGTTAATAATTAGTACATTATTCTCCCTGAGGGGTTCAACTAACAGATTGGAACACTTCAAACAATAATTTTACTAGATTAAAATTGGGGATGTTTTCTGGGGAACCCATTTATAAGGAAGAGTGTTGATTAATCTTTAATTGTCATTCAAAACACAATACAGCTATTCATGAAAAAGGGAATTCTTGGTGTTTATGTTGTATTATGAGCTACTTTTCTAATATTTATTATTATCAGAAGATTAATCAGAGTCCGGGAAAATGTCAACATTAGTCTTGGCAGATTTATTAGTTAATATTATAATTGTCTTGTACTATAATAATCAGATTAATCTTCGAATTAGCCAAGTTCTGAACATGAACATTAATTTGTATTGATTATCGTAAATTAAATTAATCGCGAATTTTAGAAAACAGATTGCAAAATGAAAGAAAATATTTCCAGATAATATTGATTGAAGACTTTCTTTACAAATAAATGAACTGGTAATATGGAATTCTGGAAGCTTCAACAAACATTTATTTCAATTACACCCATTTTGTTTTTTTCTAAGATCGTTTATTTCGTCATTCAGATTTTTTTTCTTTTGTTTTCTTTCTTTTCTTTTTTTTTTACTGCATCATAAATTGTGAACTGTAAAAAACATATATGCAAGTGAAATTGTTTTTATATGATGTGAAGGTTCATAAAACTGGAACAAAAAATAGTTTATTTATTGTTTTATTATGGACCTAGTCCTTCATATAGAAAGGGGTTAATAATGCCTTCAAGCATTAAAACCATTTAAAATCTTCCATGTGGTGCAAGAACAAAAAAAAAAATCTCACAACAGAAGTTTAAAACAAAAGGCTTTAATTTGCCTGTTACGTTACGGCCAATATATTTCTTTAAATGTCTTTATTGGAAACAATTGTCAATATTACTTCTGACTGGTCGAAACCTGCCCCCAAGACAAGGCTTAAAGTTGTTTGATGATGGTGGAGTTTTGTAGTAAAAGTTTTAACAGTATTGTGTTTTAATGAAAAGTGTTATTGTTTGGTGTTACACAATCTGTTGAGGTTGTTAAGTTTTATGATGAATGACTGCTGGTCTCTTGTCTATGGTAGTGGTGGTAGTAGTAGTAACCCAGAGATCCTGTTACACTTGATTAATTACTTTAGTCTTGCTGTTGTGTGGAGAGACATGTTGTCTTATTTCTTAAGGAGTTAGGCCTTAATATAATACTCAATCAACAGCCGAGTTCAAAAGGAGTTTGAAGGTTTGAGATGAGTTACATATGTACATGTCTACCATTAAGTCCGTGTTGCAGCAGAAGTCTAATAACGGCTCACGATTAATTGTGAATAATTACATGTATCTGGACAAGAGTTTGTAAAGTTTTGCTGTTAGCCTCAAATCATAATTTCGATACAAGAATACGAGACACAGACTAATTCAACGGATATAAGCATTGTGTTACATGTAATTATGAAATTGATTAAGATGGGTATGTGAAAATGTTGCAGTTCACAGACGACATTAGTGGAAGCCTGATGCGGTGGAAATGAGATTGAGACTTTTTAGTTGATTTCAAGCCAGACAATTAGTGAAGTTGGACACATGTTTCCACATCTGACATTAACGTTATGAAAGAGAAAAATTTGGATTCTTATATGGATGTGAATTTTTGATGAAGTTTTTTGGGAATTTTCAATTTTGTCTTAAATTATAACAATAACTTTAAAATTGATTATTATAAAATCATAATTTCATAAGCCGTTAAATTATCGTAACTTCTGAAGTGGGGAGAGATTGTTAATCATAAACCTTGTTTGAGTTATTCCATTGATCTCAGATAGAACCAGTTACAGTAATTAGAAGGAACAGCAACCATTTAATTGATTATAGAATCAATCAGACATAGCATGTACATGGTTTGTTAGCAGACAACATTCATCACAAAATCTAGTGTGTCATCAGTGGACTCATTCTAACAATCCTTTTATAGATAAAATTCATTATCGCGTTTCAATGCAATTTTAATCCATATTGTCCATTGTGTTATTTTTTGATGGAAAAGATTCTAGTCACAGATGTTTGGATAGCCATTTTAATTCGTGCATCTGCCATTGTTCTTGAAGCAGACGACAATTTGTAGTAGTTATGTTATAACACCTCTCTCTACCTGTTGGATCTTGTGAAAGACAGCGAGAGTTAAATCAATGATATGATTCAGGCTTTGTAACAGATGATTTGAATCAGTAGTAATATTTAAGGGGCATCGAATGACTGTACCACATATTACACATTACACATCGGTCTTGAAGCGTGGCCACACAAGCTTGGTTCATCAAAAATGATTAAATATTCAATTCTTTTATTCAGTGCTACAATAATTTTTGTGAGCGTTCAATGAACCAACATTCTCTTTTTCTCTTGTCGCTGTTAATAATATATGCTAAGCAGCTAAGACGATTTTAATTGAAAGAAAATTGAATAGTGGCTTTATTTCGATCCGGGATATGGTTTGCAGTTGATGATTACACTAATTTCTGATTAAATACAATTATTGGTGCATAGTTGATCATAAAATTGAATCGAGATTTATTTGACAAAGCTCTGGAAGTGATGCTGTATGATGGTGATATGATGAATTTTTTTTGACTATATTTTTTTATATGAACCTTGATTGAGGTGTGATCACCATTATAAGGAAGGTAAAAACTATAAATTCAATAATCAAGACTGGAACTGATGCTGTTTGATGGTCATATGAAGAATATTCGCTGTTATCTAAGCACTTAGATGGTATTTTTTAATGAACCTTGATTGAGGTGTGACCACTCTTACAAGGAAGCTGACAACTGAAGAAAACTCTGGCGTTTTCTCTTACATTGATGTCTAATAAGACTCTCGGTCTTTGGTTGTACTGGAATAATATTACTGATAAATGAAAGAAAAAACTAGTTATTTTCGTAAATTAGTATAAATTTTTAAGGTGTTAAAATTAAGGAACTTGATCTCAACTTCAACATCTGGAAGAAAAACAGTATTTGCTTTTAGTGTGAAAATTGTGTATCCATCATAGAAGACTTGGTTTGTTTTAGACCTACGTACTACATTTGAACTTGTATAAACTCTGGTGTAGGAATTTAGAAGTGGTTCATTGAGAACTAGGAGTGCTATTAACTTGAATGGTTGAATGAAAAATACATGAAAATATAGTCTAGTGGTATAAAAGTTTAGGATGAAGGTAAACTTGGATTTGTTTTATGTGTGAAATGTTTTGATTTAGGAAGTTCAATGTATTTTAAAGTAATAATAAAAGAATGTGTTGATACATATTGCTGGTGATCGTCGTTTGATATTTCGGATAAAATCTTAATTTTTTTACAGCTCAATCCACACCAAAATTTAGTTGGATTGATTATTTAACATTTCATTAAGAAAATAAAACTAATACCTTAATATTTATATCAACATTAGAATCGGATTAAGAAGAGATCCATCAAAGGGTTTTACTCAACATTTATATGTGGCACTGGCTTGTTTGTATCATATGTACAGGATGCTGAATTCATTATATCTCCTTAATATTGTAATCTTTTAGAGGCATTTAGTAACTGGATAGAGCAATAAACTATAACACATACTTACGGAAAACAGCTACTATTTATTTTATGTGAAGTTCAAAATTTTTCAAATGACAATGACTTTAATTTAGCATAAAAGCATTTTTAAAAAGTATAGCACAAAGAAATAATAATTTAAAAAAGGATAACACTTATTATAAATTTTCAAATAATAAATAAAAAAAAGTAATATTTAAAAAAAAAAAACAAACAAGATGTCAAACATTATAAATTTTCAAATAATAATTAAAAAAAAAGTAATATTTAAAAAAAAAAAAAAAAGATGTCAAACCATGATGGCTGTGTATAGCACAAAGAAATGATAATTTTAAAAGGTACAAGAACTTATTATAGATTTTCAAAAAATAATATTTGAAAAAAAAACCAGGATGTCACGCCATGATGGCTGCGTGGTCTACATAACATTAAAGATTAGATTGAGTCATTGTGTTGGGCTATAATTGCATTTCAATACCTAACATGATGGATAAAACAAATTCAATAAACTTATCGACAAAAGTTGACAGTTGCACAATGCGTTTGCATCTAATCTCCATGGCGATACCTCGTGAATATGATTGTTTTAATGTTCAATATTTGTGATAGTAGTGTGTATAAAATAAAATATTGATCTCGGGTACAAGTACGGAGATGTGCCTATTCACTGACAACTGCAAGATATGAATGTTTCAGCAGACAGCGATACTATTTGTTTTTCAGATTATGTATCGACATACCGGTAGCCATTTCCATAATCAGGATTACTAATGTAATGTTTCTTTTATTTAATATAAATATATTCTAATTCTTTCAGCCGACATCATCGGTCCGATGCTTGATTTGAAAAAAAAATCACGGTTCCAAATGGATAAATTGGAATGTCTTTTTGTGCTCTATTATTTGCCGTAGCTTTTACATGAATTTCTAGCAGCGAAGCGAGTCTAACTGGTTGATTGAATTTAACTAATCAATTATTTCTAACGCTGTGCATTATCTGTATAGTAATATCTAAGCTAGAGTTATTAAACTTTTTACTACTAGTTGTATGCATAATTGGTACTAGGATTAGGCATCTGGTCTTCTGCAACAGGCATGGAAAGAATGCCAGATTTATTGATTTAAGATATGGATAGAAAAAATGAATTTTTGTTAATTCCTGCATGATTTTATTTTTGTTGTTTCAGGAGTTTGAATGTGGCGTTCATTTTGAGGGAACGGAATCATCCAAACAAGAATGGTCTTTTACGTTGTATGATTTTGATGGTCATGGGAAGATCACGAAAGAGGTACGTACATTATCTCTTTAGAATCTTTTATTTATGGATATCAAATCAATATCTAATAAAGCCACAGGCAACATATTTTATCACCTGTTTTTGAAGAGGGACTTGTGAACATGGGCCTTGTTTTAAGGACCAGTAGATACTCTTTTGTTTACTAAAGAGAAAGATTCCAGATGGGTTTGAGATATACTGTTGGATGTGGGGAGGGGTACAACATGTAGAGGGGTACAACATATAGAGGGGTACAACTCATAGAGAGGTGGATCAACTTGTAGAGATCAGTACAACCCGTAGAGATCGGTACAACCCGTAGAGATCGGTACAACCCGTAGAGAGGGGCGAAACTCTAAACAGAACCCTTATGGGAGCCAGTTGTAAAATTCTGTAAAATGTTAAACATGTACAGAAGTCTAATTTGTTAAAGATGTGTGTATTGTGTATAATATGACACCCACCAAACGGAGTCAGAAGTCGTTTGTTTTACGATATGAACCTTAAGGTCGAAATAGTTTAAAAATATCATTCATGTCAGGTCATTAAAAATAGATTTTTAGCCTATTTTGACCTTTTTATTCATACCGTAAAACATTGACTTGTGAAATCCAACTCATTTTTCTTTCACGACTCACAAGTCCACATTGAAACATTGACTTGCACATTCCAACTCATTTTTCTGTCACAAGTCCACATTAAACCATTGACTTGCAAGTTCCAACTCATTTTTATGTCATGACTCACGAGTCCATATTGAAACATTGACTTGCAAATTCCAACTCATTTTTATGTCACGTGTCCACATTAATATAAAGTTATGAAAATTATACAGTAACGTAAGATCGATATAATGTAAACTTCTAACGAGGCTGATTCATTTGAAACTTTTTATCAGAGTTACTCCATGGAAATAAAACATTTTATTAAATTTAAATATTTTTGGATGAAATGAAATGGGGTTTAACATCCTACTTATTTTTGGATGACGATACAGGTTTCATTATTGTACATTAATAATTGATATGAAAATTATCTTCATGTATGTTGTTAGAGCAAACAGCAAGTTACCATATCAATATTTTATGATCTAAGGTTAATTTGATACTTCAGGCCCATCTGTTGCCTATAATTTTGATAAAAACTTAGGTTATGTAAAATTACGTAGACTGAAACTACTTTATATTACATCATGTTGAATGCATGCAGCATGTAGGCGAGCAGACGGATAAACATTTTCTTTTTCATCGACATTCCTGGCTGGAAACGTTAATTATTGGTAAGACATAAATAGTTCAAAAGTGTTACAAAATAAGGGCCCAGGTTCGATCCTGGTGTTGTTCAAGAAAGTTCCCCTTGGTTTGCCCTTGTCGGTGGTGCAGGATACAGTATCTAGTTGTTCAGATGGTACAAAAAAAAAGAGGTCAGGTGTTATGCACATGCACATAAAAGAACCCTTGGCAGTTGGAATTGGACAAACAGTAAGTGGAGATGCTGCTGTTTGGGCAAAATTTACCCGATACAACTTGAAAAGTTTGCAGGGGGGTTGGATGGCTGAATGGTTAGCGTGCGCGCGCTGTATCATAAAGTCTGTCATTGAGTCGACTGGCGTGGTTTCAAATCCCCGGTTGTATGTGACAAGGAGTAGGGTCGCCTGTCCAACCTCGTGGGTTTTCTCCAGGTCCTCCGGTTTCCTCCCACTGCTAAAGACCCCTACACGCAAGCAAATTATTGAAATAAAATTAAACCATATGTTAGTCCCAAGATGACCTAGTTGTGTCGAGTGGACGTTAAGCCCCATTTTTCTCTCTCTGAAAACTTTGCAAAGCTCCCCGATTTGGTTTTACTTTTGTATTAAAGGATGAAAATACAGTGGAATTTAAGAATTCAAACTTTTGAATATTCATGGATTGCTATTATTCGTGTTTAGCAAAAATTTTGAGTCCGAGTCTCAGATCACTTACTGTTTTTAGAACATCTGATATCACTTCCCATTTATTGTACTTTTCCATTAAGAGATGAGAATGGAATGTAGAATACAAAGATTTGAATGTTAATGGGATGCTGTACACAAAAATATCCAATCTGAATGGTCCTCAGACTCGGATGGTTTAGTACTTTTAATCAAAGCTCTGTACATCAGAGTGGTAACTGAGTGATCTTACAGTTCTAGAACTGTTTGAAAGATAGACCAATGGTGGTTAGAGTGATAGGAGATAGGGATGGGTAATTATTTAGAATATTAAGACCGCCATGATTGTTGATCAAAATGGCTAATGTAGCAGTCGATGAAAGCGTGTTGAAATATCCATCTATTTCTGACTTCCAGATTCTCAGATAAAGGCCAGAGTGTCGACATCTTTGTGGAGAGAAAATTGATATGATTCTCCATTTCTAGCCAATTCTGGGTTGAGATATTCTCTTTCACAATAAATAGTAGCAACTGGCTAGTATGTCAAATACATTCGACCATCTCAAGTTTATTTACTAAGAAAATACCATCATTTTCTCTGGTAGACTAAAAAACACCTTTTTCTTTTGTTGTTGAAACTTTTTTGTTCAACCTTCTTTTGATAATCAGATGGAATTTGTTATTGCTGATAAAAGATTTAAATGCCAATAGTTGACGTCTGGTCTAGTATTGAATAAGGCGGTATTTATAAGTTAATGTGTTATATATGGAATGTTAATCACTCTGGACCAGTCAGGCCTGGAAATAATGTCAGGCACTAACTGTCAGGATTAATTTTGTACCAGACATGTATTAAAAAGATGAATAAAAAGACAAATTTGTGTCAGGGGTTTCTTGCGGTAATATTTAATAGATAGTGACTATGACACTAAATTAGAATCCCAAACAATTTAACCTTAAAGGAGCTAAATCGCTATTCTTTGGCACCTAGAAATGGACACAAGTGGGTCGCAATGCATATAATAATGTAATATGAATGTATATAAACTGATTTACATTCAGTCGTTTCTGTTATGTTCGGCAAAATACCCGGAGTCCAAATTGAATGTCAGTCTTTGGTGTCTGGTTATTCCAGTTTACACCAGTAGTAATCTCCAGTGGGATATGATTAGCCTCGTTCATCGAGTCGCTTCATTTCAAATGGCACTCAAAAGCATTATGGCATGCGATTCGTGTGCCAATTTTAAAATTTCTATTTTCTCTTAAATATTGGATATCAGAAGCCCAACTTCAGTGTTGATTTAAATTGACCAATAAGTCGTGTTTGCAATGTCGAAGACTGTGCATGACATTAAAGACTTGCCTCCTTTAAATCAAAGTAAATATAGTTGAATTTATGTTTTTTTGGGGGAAAAACACTTGAAAAGAAATATAAATATAAGGATGATGCTACTATTGTCGTATTTCTTTTTAAAAAATATCTTAGAACTAAGAGAAGTTAAAACTTGCTTCTGTATAGTACAATATGATTTTGCAGTCTTTCCAATTGCGACTTTTGACCATGGATATGTTTAGTGGAAATTTCTTCCCTTTAATTATAAAAATCCTAATTGGCTCAGCTAAGTTGCTCCTATTCTGGATTGGTATGTCAGGGCTGTCGAAATTAGGGGGGAGCAGGGGCTTCAATAATTTGCAAATATGGGTTTATTAATTTAGAAATTGTTCCACTGACAAGTCCCTGAAACCCAGTTTTGACTTGCTATGCGGAAAGCCCATCCAATGTAAGTTCATTTTGACGGGTGTGTGTGTGTGTGTGATGTCTTTTAGATTATGCATTATTTCTAACAAAGGCATGTATCTATATTCAAGTTGTTGGTGGTACACACCAAAGCGGGCTTGGGCATTCTGTTAGATTATGCTTTATTTCTAACCAGGCGTATACCCATTTTCATGGAGATACACACTAGTTGGACTTACAGTAGCTAATATCTATTACATCAATTAGATATAATATAGGACAATTAGTTGTTAATGACTAGTTAATTGTTCTGAATTTACACCCATTTATTCTTGGTGACAATTTATCTCGGTGTGTCGGGTGAAATAGGATCGTTATTACATCTCATTAGAGGAGTGTTGGATTGTTTTCTATACTTTTTTTATAGGTAATGACTTTGTAATTAGATCTCAACTGATAAATAGAACTAATTAAAGTATTTTATCATGTTTATAATTGTTTTCACTCTCTCACGAATCTTTACATAATTACGTGAAATTGGATCGCTAGTAATCTGGGTCTGTAGTCTACTTGAGAAAAAAAATCTTTATGATATCGTTCTCTGTTATTGTTAACAAGAGGAGAGGGGGGGGAGATGGTTGAATGGTTAGTGCTGCTCGCTGTATCATAAAGTCTGTCATTGAGTCAACTGGCGTGGTTTCGATTCCCTAGTTGTACATGACACAGAGTAGGGTCTTCTGTATAACCCCGCAGGTTTCCTCTAGGACCTCCGGTTTCCTCCCACTGCTAAAGACCCCTACGTGCAAGCTAATTATAGAAATAAAATTGAACCATATGTTAGTCCTGAAATGACCTAGTTTGTGTCAATTGGATGTTAACCCCATCTCTCTCTCTCTCTCTCTCTCTCTCTCTCTCTCTGTTAACAAGAGATACCTGTAATGGTGAGGATGGGTGTACACAGTATTTGACGTAAAATAGAAATTGGTTAGATTATTGCATGTAATGTAAAGGTCAAGCAAGGGTTTTCAGACCCAGTTCTCACTTCTCAAAGGTGATTGCAACAACATCAATCTGCCACAAAATGACATTCCTGGTATAATCTTATTAACTCGTTGAGTTTTTCCAAACTTTCCATTTCCAATTTACTATTTTTATTTCTGAGCAACTTGGATGTTATGATCTCTGTCTGGCAGTTTATTTTTTGGAAAATATCAAATTTTCCATGACTCAGTATATGCTAAAATACAATCCAATTGATTATTTAACATTTAATTAAGAAATCGTCGGTAGATAATATACTTGCTTGGATTCAATCAGATTCAATAGATTTAAGCTAAGCTTATGATTATAATGTGATGTTGGCTTTTGACAATATCCTTTATTCTGCAGAGTATGTTGAATATTGCCAAATTTCAGAGATTCAACTTTCACATTATTGTGGTTTGCAAGTAATGCAGTAAACAATCTTCATGACATTCAGAGATTTTAACTTGCCATACACTCAAATGATTTAAAATCTTAATGACATTCAGAGATTTTAACTTGCCGTATACTCAAATGATTTAAAAGCAACTTAAAGTATTAGTGTGTGTAGAAGAATGTCCATACAATCTGTCATCTTGTCTTACAATAGTCTTTGAATATGGATGAAATACATGCATGCCTTGATAAGAGTTATCATACTTGACTCATCAGATATTGGAACAATTCCAAGATTAAAGGAATTCCTGTCAATTTTATAGCCATTAGATCAATCTAGATCAAACACCAGCCAAACCATAGCGAAGGAATCTGAAGAGAAATGTCTTTGTATTGTTAGTTTTTATGAGTATTAAAGTGCTTATATACGATATCCCATGGCTCAAAGTTAATTGTTTTATAAATCAACTTCTCTATTACTCATTTGTGGCGTATTACGCAGGGTGTTAAGAATTTCTTACAATCACCAATCGTCTAAATTTCATCATATATCGCGTCTAATAATGGTAATTGACTAAATGTTTTTATTTACAAGGTAATGACTCTCCTAAACCTTCGGTACTTTGTAATCAAAGATAATGATTTTCAGATGGTGAATATTCAAAAAAGTGGATCTTCTATGATTGAAAGGAGTCCTGCGTAATTTCTCTGTAATTTGAAGAAGTTAAACATGTAATGATTAATTGTTTGTATGCCAAGGATTGGAATATATAAAATAATAATAATGTTATTAAGTGGTATATGCAACATAATACAAATATGAATTATTTATCAGGAGATGGATGTCAATCAATATGTTGGTGATGAGTGTCAAATCTTTTTTATACTGGATGTAATTTTTTGAAATCCCCAGGATATTGTTTTATTTTTTTAAGATGTTAATAAATGGAATAAGTATATGAGAAGAATTACATGTCATGCTTGATCAAATTCAATTTTCTATAGACTATGTGGTAACTAGTGTCGACAATATAAATCAATATGGACATTTTTTTTCTTTGTAATACTGTGAGATAAGAAATTCAAATTAATGTGTCAAGATATTAATGCCACAAGAAATTAATGCAATAAAAAATTAAATCCACAAGAAATTAATGCAACAAGAAATTAATTCAACCTAAAGGAAATCACATGAAAAGGTGTTTAACATCTAACTTTTCTGCACCGGCCACTCTAATGAAGATGCTGTGCATGAGTGTGCTATGGGGGATATTGAAATTAATGCTGCTCACAGTATCCTTTTTTATAAATTTCAACTGGGTGGTTTCTATTCAGTTAAACAGGAACTAAATAATAATACTCTAGTTTAAATAGCAGATAATTACACAACTTATATTTGTATCAACTAAGGGCACTGGTAAACCGTCATAATTTGTATCAACTAAGGGCACTGGTACATAGCCTATATTTGCATCAACTAAGGGCACTGGTACACAGCCTATATTTGTATCAGCTAAGGGCACTGGTACATAGCCTACATTTCTGTCAACTAAGGGCATTGGATTCTCTACTAGAATGTCCTTGGTTCTAATCTGTCCTGACTGACAGATGAAATTAAAACCTGTGACATTTGGAATTCGATAAAGAGTAAGCAAAAAATGGTGCTGTCTGTGAACAATTTCCTCTCTATAGCACCCTGCATGGGATTATGTTGGTCCTCCAAATGTGCAAGCGAGTTATTGTAATAGAATTGAATCATATATTAGTCCCAAAATGTGGAATGACCTAGTTTGTGTTGTGTAGATGTCAAACCCGATTTATCGCTCTTTCTCAGTAAGTGCAGAAAAGTAGGATGTTAAAACCTTTTCATTGCTGTTGAACATATACGTACGTAGCTAGACTGGCAGTGCGTGATCTATAGAAAAACAGCAAATAGATAAAACAGTGTGTGTTTTTATGTTCTTATCAGACATAGAATCTATCAATATGAATATATAATATTATATATACAGGAAGGAAACAGATGGTTCTTCTACTATAGTATACATATAGTCGTATTGATTTATGTGTGTTTAATTAGTCTACCATGTCAAAAGGTTATCTCCAACATTGGATTATGCTCAGTTAATGTCATGTTTTGTCATAAAAGAACAGAAGGAATGACACAAATTAGACATAAAGTATTAGTACTAATACATTTTCGTATAGTGTGTTTAATGTCACTGTTAGCTTGATAATGTTAAGAGAATACTCTTCTAAAGTAGCTGTTTTCAAAAAGTATGTGGTATAGTTAAAAAAGAACCTACCAGTTATATTAAGCTAGTCGAACTTTTTCATCTCTGTGCAAAAACCTCTGGCAAGTATACCGGCATAATTTCACCTGCAGCTTAAGGGGGCAAAGGAACGAGGTCCACTTATGTAAAAGAACCTAGTTCAAAATTAAAGAAGGATTGGTGGAAATGTTGCTGCTCAGACAAAATTCTCCTGTCTCAAATTGCACAAGTAACAATATAAATAAAGAAATTTTATGTTGTCAGAGGGAATTTAGGATCATCATCTGGTATCTGCACCACCCCTCTAACCACAGACAAGCGTATCCATGCTTACAAATAAATTAGAGGTAATAGTGAAAGGATAATGTTTTCCTGTTTTCATATTGGGGCCTGACATGAAGCAGTGTCTAGTCATTGGGATGGGGAAAAAAATTGTTGGCCTGTGTACACATTGGCGTGCACATAAAAGAACCTTTAACAGTTGGAATATGAAATATTAGTGCCGCAAAATTACGCTCATAGCACACTGTATGTGTATGCCTAACTTCATTAGTGCAGTCGGTGCAGGACAGCAGATCATTAAACATCATTTTTTTTTCTTTCGTACTGAGATAATCTTAATATTAACATCTTTATATATTTACACTAGAGAATTTTCATTTATGTTTTAACCGAAGATACATAGATATATACGAGGTTTGTTTTTAAACTGAGACAAGTTGAAATATTTCTAGATACAATCATAAGTTATATATGTGGTTGTTTTTTCTAAACTGAGACAAGTTGAAATATTTCTAGATAAAATCAAAAATATGGGTAGGAAGAAATCTACAAGTCCTGATTATTTTGATATTACTGCGTAATTTTATGATCAGTGTGTGGTGAAATATCCTGATGTGATTTGAAGCCGACCCCTTAGGGAGACTCCGTTTTTTTATCAGAGCCATAATTCCATCTGTCAAGAGAATTTTGATATATTGTTCTATTGCTAGAAATTTCTTTTCATCTTTGATTTGTTTTATAACTGGTTGAGTTTAATGTGTTCTTTAGATTTACTGTGATACAGAAGATATACCATAAAGAAAAACATTCGCCATAACTTTTGTTATCTTTATGTAAAACAGAAGCTCAAATGATGTTTTAATTAAATGCTTTCAGCCAGCAGTTTTTGTAAATATTTTTAGTTCTAATGACAGAGTTATGAGTAGAAATGAAGTTTTAATGTTTTTTTTACTGAGTTTCTTTTCTTATATTATGTGTTGGTTATGGTGCTAAGGTTTTTAGTTCAACTCAATAAACGGACATTTTTGTTTCTGTTATCTGTCCTTGTGGTTTCTGGCATCAGCAGATGCAGAAATACGAATTTAAGTTGTACCTGAAATTTATAACTTTGAAAATACAAAAAAAATCAAGATAGGCTGAAAATTTGTGCCTCACAGAATAGCAGTCCTCAGAGGAATTGTGTCTGACAGAATAGCAGGCACCTGACAAATTGTGCCTACCTGACAGACAAAACCAGAATTTGAATTGGTGACAGGCTTGTTTTTGCCCAAGGGTTACAACTGATATTTTCGAAATACAGCATTCTGAATTTTTGATTTAATTTGTATTCATTAATGTTTCAGGACTTGGCCAGTTTATTAAAAGCTCTGTATGATGCAGTCGGGTCCTCCATAAAGCTTCCACATAACGGCACCAAAACATTGAAGCTACGACTAACAGTTGGTCAAGATAACGCTCAACTTCACAGCGCCAGAATCTCTTCTGCTAAATCCAAAGATAGTCCGAAAGTCAAAGACGGCAAAACCAAAGAAACAATAAAAGCGAAAGATTTCGCCAAGTTGAATAATTTGACGACTCAGCAGTTAAACGTAAAATGTAACAATGAGAAGCAGACGCCGAATGGCAAGACACGAAATCAGTTGAGTCTTGAGGATCAACAGCAATTAGCAGAATTAGTTCAAGAGAACATGGAGAGAAATCACATTAAACAACTCAGGTACGTAAATTTAACTCCAGTTAGGGGGGTCTAATGTGCTTTAGGTCATAAGGTCCATCATGGTCGACAAGGAGTAAAGGTCACCTGCTGAAACAGATGGGTTTTCTCCAGGTCCTCTAGTCTCCTCCTACTGCTAAAGACCCCTGCACGCAATTACAACCAAATTATTAAAATAAAATCGTCCCATATGTTAGTCCCACAATAACCTAGTGTTTGATGAATGGACGTTAAATACCATTTCTCTTTGTGTGTCTGTTTTCACTTGCCTATCAAAAAAAAACCAAATCTGTGGTCACTACAAACAAATGACTGGTTAGTTCTACATTAAATTTTCCACACATTTTTTTTTTCAATTCAAGATGTTTCAAATTGACGCCTATTTATCTGTTACGTCCAATGGTATTGTTTTAATGAAAAGTTTGAATGTCTCAATAATGATTGCAAATTGCAGATATTAATGGATTTATTTGTACAGAATAATAAGAAAAACACCTCCCGAAAACATAGATACGAGCGAATGTCTTAAAAGTTCTAGCTGTATTTGTTGTTCCTGAAAACATAGATATTTCCTGAAAGTTCTAGCTATATTTGTTGAAAGTTATCTTGAAGTTAATGCTGATAGCTGCAGGTTTTTGATAAGGTTATCAAGACAAGCAGGGAATGTGTAAAATCTGACCAGTTGTTATGCCAATACGGCTAATAACCGTTATTGTGTTGTTCTGGCTCTAGAAGGTCATGAAGATTATAATATAAACATAACATAGGTACAAGCAGTGACTGTAATGTTAAAAGGCTGATAATAAGTGGAACCGTAGCTCTTTAAGATAAGAAATGCTCGGTCTTTATTAATGCTTCTTATCTGGTAAACATGTAAAATGTACAGCCAGTAGCCAGAAACATTTGGCCAACAAATATTCATCTGTTTCTAGAACAATTAAAGCATTCTGCACACCGAGAACTATCTACTCTACTTTGAGAATAGATCTCTGCCCTAAATGGCCACCATTTCGAACAATTAGTATACTGTTTTGTAATGCAGTCCTACTCAGGCCTCAAGTTCACAAAGCATTCTCAGACTTAAGTTAAAAATTTACTCAACTTTCAATCACTGTTCATGAGAAATATCTTTGATCCAGAAACACAAAACTTTGCACATAGTTTCTTATTGATGTATTTGATACATTAAAACAACAAACGTTTTATAAAATTCTATATTTTAGTTAAAATAAGACAAACAATTTTGAGTAAATTCTCAACTTAAGTCTCAGAATGCTTTGTGAACTTGGGGCCAGGTTCACATCTGTTAACATCTGTTGAAACGGTTCAATTTTATTAAATAAAAGCAGAATGTATATATACTTCTTAAAAGTCTCAAAGTATACTTAGTGTTTTTCGACTTAGGACTTAAAATGTCGGTCAACTAGCTTAGTGTCTGTTCTCAAGCAGAGCTAATTGTAGACAGACAGCATAAGTTTAGTATGCAATTAAAGGTGGTCTTCTTGATCTTAAAATTAGATTGGTTCCTGTTGAAGTTAAATCCCTTCAGAAGTCCACTACTTGGGGTTTCGAGAATATCATTAAAAGCACATTTGTATTATAGTGAGACTCTTATTATTGGCATGGTTATCACTATAACACAGTTGGGAATACTGATGAGAGAGAGAGAGAAAAATGGTGTTTAACGTCCACTTGACACAAACTAGGTCATTTCGGGACTAACACATGGTTCAATTTTATTTCCATAATTAGCTTGCACATAGGGGTCTTTAGCAGTGGGAGGAAATCGGAGGACCCGGAGAAAACTCACAAGGTTGGACAGGCGACCCTACTCCTTGTCACGTACAACCGGGGAATCGAAACCACGCCAGTTGACTCAATGCCAGACCTTATGATACAGTGCGCACGTGCTAACCATTCGACAATCCATTCCCCCCCGAATACTGCTGAGCTCAGTCTTGTGAACAGTATTGAATAGTAAGGAACCCATGTGGAATGTTGTTTCTGTTTTAGTGAAGAAAAAAAAAAACCACATACAATCATTTAAAAATAATATTCCTAAAATGGTTCCAATTCTGATTAGAACAAACATTTAGAGTTATTTTCTCTTTGACTATCACGACAATAAAATATCCTATCAGACAGAATGAGTTCATAAAAAGTTTATTGCCATTGGCATAAAATAAGTAAAAATGTTGGCAAATGATTTTGTGTGCAGTACCGAGTACTGCTAAAAATCCCAACTATCTCAGAAACGGCATATCAGACCACCCTAATTGTATTATTGGGCCTTTAAAATAACAATTAAAAGCATCATGGAGATAAGAAATGGCTGGAACCACCCTGAAAGATGATAAATATTCTCCACTAATCTTTATTTATCCTCGCAACTGTCCAATCATACTGCTTGTAGCCAAACACCCCTTTTCTCTAGATAACCAGTTAATATGATAGACATGGTTTACGAGGGTTTTATGGTTATATTGGGATACATATGGAGAATGTTTCCACTGTTTATAGCCCACTTAGATTCCACTTCTACTTCAGATCTTTGCTCTTTTTCTGTAAATCTTTTCTAGTACTTATAAAATAATTTACAAGGAAAGATAGAAGTTGTCTTGAATTTCGTATATTTTGACACAGAACACAGAATGATGTTTAAAGGGGCATTAATGCTCTTTCCGTTTAAAAAAAAAAAAATCTATTTGGCATAATATTGTATACAGGGCTCGAACTAGTGGACGATGTGGGTGAAATAGTCGCCCAACCACCGCTGATTTCGCCCTCCAAAGAACCTAGGGCGAAGTTGAAGTCGCCCTTGTGTCGCCGTATACACATTTTGAGGATAATCAACCAAATTGTTGTTAGTAGACCGTGCACATTAAAAGAGGTTTTCATGGAGTTTAACCAATACTTATGACAAACACCGAACTCTGAATTTGTTCAGTAGAAAATTAAATGAGTCCGTATTGAAACACCAGGAAGCTTCAGGTTCGTTGCATGTGTTGGCTAAGAAAGTTCCTCTGGATTTTCCGGTGTGGTTCCCCTTGTCAGTCGTGGATCTGACAAGGACACTGTCTTCAAAAAAAGAATAGGCCATAGCTCCCCTCCCTGAGCAAGTTTTCCTTCATAGCATACTGTATGGCATATACCCATCTTCATTAGCCCAGTCGTAGAAGAGGTAGGAAGTTAAGCCCCTTTTCATTTCATTATTTTAACGCATAATGAAGAAACTTAACAAGACTGTATAGATAATTAAAAGATATAGAACAGGACTTGTTTCAGCAGCCCTTTAACAACCTATCATCGAGGTAGCTGGCATTGTTTCCATTCCCCAGCTGTAGTGACTAGGAGTAGGGTCGCCTTGCCTGTCCAACCTTATTGGTTTCTCCGGGTCCTCCGATTTCCTCCCACTGCTATAGACCCCTGCTCAAGCAGATTATTGAAATAAAATTGAACCATATGTTAGAACCGAAATGACCTAGTTTGTGTCAAGTGGACGTTAAACCCCATTTCTCTCTCTCTTCCTTAATATCAAGATGACCTAAAGATAAATATCTAAAAGTTAAAAAAGAAATTAAATTTCCATCAAAATATAAACTTGACTGTTTTCATTCATGTTTCAGAAATGCACTCAATGTTTATTTTTGTTATTAATTATTATAAGTTGTTGTTGATTTTTCTCGGTCGTACATGATTAAGTAGGTGAGTTTACATGTAATGATGCGAGACACGGCAAGGTGCTCTCTCTCACTACTAAATCACGATAGTTTAAAAAAACACACAACCATGCTTCGAACTTAATGAACTCCATCAATACAAGATAATGTAGAAAAGTCTGTTTTTTAAGAAAATATAACTTTATCTGGTTAATCTGATCAATTTGTGTGAAAGAGGCTTAAAGAAAAGTTCCATTTGTTAGAATTACAGATAAAAAATAACAGCAAAGAGATAGTGAAAAAAGGAATTGAGTTGTAAATGATTTTTATGCGATTCACTTCTGGATAGACATGGGTTTTATTTCTTTGTTCGTTGTATTTAAGAGAATCAATAGATGAGAGAAGACCTGCTGTCCAAGACAAGCACTGGAGCATGCACCTTGTTTGTCGTATTTCCAAGATTTTAAGAACAACATACCAAAACAAAGATGTCTACCCAACTGAGAGGGGATATCGTATATATGTTTTACTTTTGAAAAAACGGAATTGTTATCTGATCAATTGTGAACACTCGAGGGACTGAAGTGATCTTCCAATAGACTTGAAATTTAATTTAAATTCAAGTTTAGCATACTGATTTGTCAGAGTTATGGCCCTTGATCTATTTGAAAAATCTTGTGTGTGTTGAATTTATTATGTTGTGCTTTGATAGCTTTTGAAGATGGAGGAGCAGCAAATTTTATTGTATTATTCTGTTGGCATTGTGTATGATTATTTTTTACAGAGGTGTTTAATGGAAATTATTATTTTATTATCCTTATTTTGTTCTAAAATGCCCTTTATTGTTTTTTAATAGTTCTTGTTTTCTTATTTTTTGCAGAAGACATCACAGTGATTGTCGAAACACAGAAGGGTCACATCACAAACGTCGCCATAGGAACCGTCTTCCTCAGATAGTTGATGAAACACCCAAAGAGAGTCAAGATAGAAGAAATTATTATTTGGATTTAGCAGGCATTGAAAATAATGCGACTGAGTTTCAAAATACTCCTTCAATGCCAACAGCAGGATCAGGAGTGGTGCATCTTGGGAATGGCCACCACAGGTCAAGGTCTCATGATGTTACGACTCAGAAGTATGATAACGCCAAACGTGAATCTGATAGATTGTGTAAACAAATTGACAGTCCGAAATTGGACCACAAATCAAGGTCGCATGAAATAAAGGAAGAACCAACGGAAAAACGCTCCCCGAAAGGACATAAAAATGTTACCTCAGTGACCTCTCCTCAGAAACACGGAAAGTATCGACCTGTTAGTCTACCCGCTCACGTACCAAACACAGTTTCTCCTCACTATCACCGTCGACATCGTCATCGGGAAAAGAATCACGACATGGCGATGCAACAAGTTGCGGAATGGATCGAACGCGAGCATACATGGGATGTGGATGGAGAAAAAATTGTGATACAGCGTCACGAGCATCATCATGTTCATGAACATCATCATCATCATCATTATCATCACTATTATGAGGCATAATGATATACTAATGGCGGGTATTGGTGATGGTGATATGTTGGTTCAATGCAATTAGTGATGATTCATAATGCAAATTCAAACACAAACTCACTTTAATTAATTCAAGTCAAATTATAAAGTTGTAAATATAATTGTTAATATTCTATAAACTTTAGTATTTATTACAAGTCAGACATCTTTAATAAATACCATTTATTGGACTGTAAATAAAATGAAAGTAAAACTCAATTTAAACTGGGAAGAACAATTAATGCACATTTGAGGTGTTGTTTTTGCTGCGGTGTATTATTTTACAATTAAGTTCCATTGACACTTTGTGAATTGTGGAGTCAGAAGACCAAGCAAAGAAACTACTCAAATAGACTGAATGTGCGACAAAGAGGATTCCTCTACTTCTGAGATTATTGTCCGTGATATTTTGTGGTTCCAGAATTTGGTTACACTCAAACTATTTTCACTCGAAAAAAAATGTATTAATCTTTTTTAAGGATTTTGTGTTTTGACGAGATATTTGAACTGTGCAACTACGCTAAAGAAATTTGTAGTGTATTGAACAACAATCATTTCTGACAATCGGAAAAAAAGCAGTGAAGAAATAGATTTTTGTTTTACGCAAAAGAAAAGAAAAAAAAATATCACTCAAAGAAATCCTGATATCTTTTATATTTCAAATTGAAACAAACAGATATCAACAAAAGACATTTCAACATGATGGATCACTGCCTTTCTCTGATTGGCTAGTTTAAAAAGTGACCTTTGACATTTGTTATGCCTAGCAACTAGGCAAGGACATTATTAATCTACCTCCTTAATATGGGCCTAATTTTAGAATTTGTTTCCTCACACTTGCCGCTATATTGTACAGTGATATAAGTTAAGATTTATTTTGTATATTAAGTTCCTTGTTGTAAATTAGATATATTTAAGGGCACGATGATTGATGAAAATGGAGAATTTAAATCGTCGTTGTATGCTGTGTAATTTTGAGATACTGTTACTGTTTAATAATATTAGATGTTTACTGTCTGATACAGTATTCAACCGTTAAATATCGCAATCACTCTGGTGTCGTAAACGAAATTAGATTTTTATTCTTCCAGACAGATTTATATTTTCGGAGTACAGATGGAATTTTGGTTCAAAAACCTAATAGTTTGGACAATAGTTTTAAATATTGGAATCGAAAATAGATTTTTATGCTTCCAGCCAGATATGGCTTTGGCAATAGTTTTAAGTTGTATGCTTTTTACCAATATTGATAGTTAATGATTGTTGAAAAGGCTGGTTAAAGTTCAATATTTCATGGAATAGCTTCTCATAAGGTGTAGACCGCCATATTGATTTGATATGTAGGTAAATTTACAAGGTTCTAATGATATTACCATAGCGATATGGTACATATCCCCATAAGTTCTAATGATATTACCATAGCGATATGGTACATGGCCCCATAGGTTTAGAGCGCTATGGAAACCAGCTCCATGTAAACAAGAAGGACAACATTCAGGCCTATCACAGACATTAGTAGTACCGGACAAACTGTCATGAACGAACAAGTACCTGACTTTTTTAACTTTTTGCGGGACATTCCTCAAAAATATCAATAAGACAAATCAGTGCCGAACAAAATGACAGACACCAGAAAGATTGTGCTTGATCCAACCTTAATTTGTACCTGACAATGTCTATGACAGGTGCCTTATTTTCAGGCTTGGCAATATTAGGATTTATTTCATAAACAGTTTATAATAAGAGAGTGTACAGAGATTGAAATAAGATAATGTACCTAGTCATACTATATATATATTGTAAATAATTCTCTAAAAAGATTCAATATTATTCTATAGTACTTCATGTATGTCTTGAATGAATATAACACGATGCACAGTTAATGTTACATTTAAACGAAATCCATATTTGACTGAGATTTTAATTTATAGTGCGATGCACATGGCGAGGTATACCGGTACTAGCTCGTTAAAAGAAAAAGATTTTAGATACAGTGATATGCACAAAGCAGGTGTGTACTTGCTCTTTATTGAAAATTGAATACCATATCCATAGCAATTTTTGTGTATTTTAGTGTATACTGACCTTGCTGTAAAGACAGTGATCACTCGCGGTCACTTTTAAAACTCGGTATGAAAAGTAGGAAAGCTGCCATTCACTCACCATGGCCATAGTACAGATCACTGAGTTATTAGTATACATACTGAACACTTTGTAAGCTATGACGCATGTCTATTTATATTCAAATAAAATCTTGGAAGCGTGATCCATCGGTGGCTATTTATTTTCTCCCAGCAAGGTCAAATACATGTATTATCGGCCAATGTGTCATATTTTGCTAATTGCAATTGCATCCAATTCAAATAATATTTCACTTCAATTACACATTCTAATTTTAAGTAGCTAATACTTATTCCAGTGATGGTAAGACTGTTTAAGTGTTTTTCCAAGAAGCAATATAAAATTATCAAATCGAGGGATACGAAAATATCCAAGCCATGATATACACATACAGCTGACAAATTAAAGATCTGAGAATTGTATGGATTTCCTTTAATTGCGATAAAACGTTTATCGATATATATTAAAGACTTTTGGCTCAATGTAAGAATGGTCAAGAAGGCTGTTATGAGAGATATAAATTATTCCGACTGCCATTTTTGTACCATTGAATGAGATTATTTGTGTTACTATGGTTACGCACTATTTGTTTTGAATTTCTACCTAAGAATGTATCATGTTTGAGAATTATAAGTACACATGTAGGTATGCTTGGGTTTGTCCATTGTTCTATTAAGATTGAAAACATTTGCAAGACTTTTTTTTGTTGTCAAAACTATTTGACAAGAAGGTCTTACGATTAGTTTCAGAAATTAATTTTACAATTGTTATATTTATTTCAACTTTTGTGCAAATTACCATTGTATAAATTTGTATTTTAAAACAATTACTATTAAGATGGCTAATAAAGATTTGTTAATGTTTATTCCCTAGAAATTGGGAACAGAATCACTTCGCTTTATTTAGAAATTTTGAATGGTTTAATTTTAAGAATTATGTGAATTTTCAAGCAGAATAATTTTAAAACAGAATAATTTTAAATTTCTTATTAATTAAGAACCTATTCCATTATTTTTATGAAGGCGATCGCCTAAATTGTAATTTTATTGAAATATTTTTTCTCTTGTTTTTGATGAGTTTTTGTGAGTTGTGAGTGGTTGAAATGTTTATTCTATTTAATTCTGTGTTTTGTGATGTCAACCTCAGTATCTTAACACTGCAAGACTCAAATAAACCTATAAATTAATACAAATATTTCTCAGTTTCTTAATGGGTATGGGAACCTTAGTGGCTCATTGAAGGCGCTGGCTCGTAAGCCTATAGGTCAAGGCTTCGATCCTGGTGTTGGCTGTGAAAGCTCCTGGGGATTTTTCGGCATGGTTCCCCCTTGTCCGTGATGCAGGAAGGAAGGACCTGGCAAGAACAGTGCTCTGTTGTCTAGATGGGATGAAAAACCAAGATTCCATGTACACATTGGCAAGCATATAAAAGAACTCTAACAGTTGGAATTCAGATGTTGACAGTGTCAGGTCAAAATATTAAGGCCACCTGCAGATTTCATCTCATGACCTTGACCGTGTCTGCAGTTGGCCTCAATATTTAGACCTAACCGTTGCCCAGGCAAAATTTCCCCATAGCACAATTGTATGGTGTATACCTGACTTCATTAGCCCGGTAGGTGCTGTAAAGTAGGATGTTATACCATATTTCATTCATTCATTCATTCTCAATGGGTGTGCAAGTCATTGTCGTGATGACACCATTTCATATTGTCTTAGCACTGAGTACAGCGAGTATTAGTCCGCACAAAATAGCATTGATTGTGTTTGTGTTAACTGGCTTCCTGGCTTTTACCATACAGCCTACATTTGACGCAGTTAGGTGGCCACAGTACTAGTGCTGTAAGGACACTGGATTATAATGATCCAGGTGTAGACCAAGAAGAACCTTTAGATTTTGCAAGGGGGGTTGGGTAGTCTGGTAGTTTAACATGTGCGCAAGAAACCATTAAGTCAGTCATTGAGTCAAGTGGTGTGGTTTCGATTTCCTGCTTGTACATGACAAGGAGAAACAATCTAGTTTGTGTCGAGAAGCCTTAAATCACATTTCTCTCGCTCTCTGGATTTTTCCAGCCAGTAACGGGTAGTAACTGCAGGACTAAGAAGTGAGAGAGAGAGATCTAGAAATGGGGTTTAATGTGGACTAGACACAAACTAGATTGTTTCAATGGCATTTAGTAATTGAACTGGAATAAACAGGTCACAATTCTATAGAATACAATTACTGCTTATTACTGAGCGACGTTTAGACCAGGCTTCTCTAGTCATTATCAAGCTATGATAAAATATGAAAATATAACAAGACAATATATACATGTACATTGTAATTGTATTCCATAGAATTGTGACCTGTTTATGACACAAACTAGGTTATTTTGGGGCTAATATATGGTTCTCTCTCTCTCTGACACATATTAATTAAACTATACACTAAGTTTCATCGAATCGAAGTTATCTTGTTCCAAAGCATCCACCAATCAAATTGCTTATCTCTACTTACCCTAAGCAGAAAATGCTCATCTTCGAAGTCCATCAAGGCACTGGCCCAATAAACACCTACGCCAAGTTTGAACATTTTAGCTCAGTTAGAAGGAGAGTTATTGTGTTCCAAAAAGTGTGACGGGCAGACAGACGAACGAATCCATTTTAAGACTCCTGCTTTCTTCGAAAGACGGGGTCAACAAAATGAAATGGTGTTAAAGGTCCTACTGTGCTCCGACTGGGCTAAAGTAGAATGAAGACATGCATATACCATACTTCAGTGTGTTATGAGAGAAATTTTGCCCAGATAGCGGTGCTACGGCCTACTCTTATATCAAATTCTAACTGCCAAGGGATCTTTTATGTGTCCTTGTCGGGCCCTCCGTCCTGCAGCACGCATAAGGGGAAACCATGCCGGAAAATCTCGATGAACTTTCTCAGCCAACACCGCCAGCGAACTTGTGACCACCAGGCTAGCAAGCCAGCGTCTCACCTAATTAGCTACCGTGGCTCCCAATTGGCTCAAGGGGGTTGGATGGCCAAATGGTTAGCACTAAGTAACTAGGTTAGCACGTGCTCGCGATGTATCACACGGCCTGTCATTGAGTCAACTGGTGGGTTTCGATTCCCCGGTTGTACATGACAAGGAGTAGGGTCGTCTGTCCAACTTCGTGGTTTTTCTCCGGAACCTCCGGTTTCCTCCCACTGCTAAAGACCCTTACGCGCAAGTGAATTATTGAAATAAAATAAAATTGAACCATGTGTTAGTCCCGAAATGACCTAGCTTGTGTCGAGTGAGCGTTACACCCCATCTCTCTCTCTCTCTCTCTCTCTCTCCCAAATGACTCAGAGCTATATTGTTTTAAAACATATCACCGTGCGATTAATTCTGTTGTAAAACCACAACCTATAGAGAGTGATCGATGGGAATTATGGAGGAAGGACACCTGACCGAAACACACCTTAAAGGAGGCAAGTCACTAACTCAGTTTCATCCACAATCTTCGACATTGCAAACACGACTTATTGGTCAATTTAAATCGACATTGATGTTGGTATCTTACCGTGAAAAGATACGCTTCTGGGTCCTGTTTCGCGAAATTTTAACTAAAGATAAAATCCAAATTTTAGTAGATACTTCAATTTTGATTGGCCAAGCACTACAATCAGTGTAATATTATCCAATAAAATTACTAAAATTTGGATTTTATCTTAGTTAAAATTTCGTGAAACAGGCCCCCGATATCCAGTATTTAAGACAGAATGAAAATGTTAAGATTGGCACACAATTCACGTATTAATATGTAATGAAGCGACTCGATGAACAAAACTAAACATTAAGATGCAATGGTATAGACTGGAATAACCAGACGGCAAAGACCGCCATTCAATTTGCACTCTTGGCGTATTTTGCCGAACATAACTGATTAGAAAGTACAGTAAAAAAAGAAACGATTGAATGTAAATCAGTTTATATACATTCATATTAAATTATTATATTATGCGTTGTGACCCATTTGTGTCCATCTCTAGGTCCCAAAGAATAGAGATTTGGCTCCTTTAAATCTAAGTTCTCATCTCCCCCGTCTAAAAATAAATAATATTTATTTAAGAAATTCACATAGCTGACGCATATTTTTATAGATCTTGTTATACATTTAGTAGTTTTTATGTATATAGTACGTAGGGCCTATGCATTTTAGCCCAAAGGCAAATATAAATCGATAAATGACGTCATAATTATAGGTTAATATATCCGGTACTCTACCGTGATGTCGTCACCTTTCAAATAACTAGCGAGTTAGATAATTCACTGATTGTTCAATCCCGTGTAACTCAATTAAACTTTATGCAGAAATCTTTTTCTTTGATAATAATTAAAACGAATCACCGAAGCAAATGGATTCCAGATAAATCGGAATAGGCCTATTTTTTTTTTTTTGCTTGATCAAACACGGCCCCATACCAGGTACACGTGCGTGCATGATATGTCGTTTGGTGAGTAATAATTTATGATTGTATCACCTTACTTTGTGCATCATGCTGATTATTATCCACGGTTAACAAAATGACACGCTCGGCCTTCCGTAGCTTATAAATATTCCCTTTGATCTTTCATTTGCATAATCCCAGTCGTTTGATGTTAAACCGCGTGTAATATTGATATCATAGAGAACACTGCTCAAGTCTTATAATTTAATTGAAATCCTCTTTTGTTCTATTCTTCTGTCAGGTATAAAACAAGCAAGCCATGCGAAGTTTAATTTGAACTGTTCATATTTCCCGTCGACAGGTGTATTGAATTACATAGAGTTATTAATTCTTTACATATATCTTTTTATCTTATCTATAGCATAATAAGTTTCATATTACGCCATTGTCGTGAATTCATGTTTTAATAATTTAATAAGCAAAAACCGTTTTAATCATATTCAAAATATTCCTCCCACGTCTGCTTTGGCGAATTATTGTTTTGTTAAACATATTTTACCCTCTAAGAGCATACCTCATTTTGGGTACAGTATAATGCAAATAATCATTCCTGTACCCTTTTGAACCTCGATTCTCCGCCACAGTAGAGAGCGATTTCTTTTTTATCGGTGAATGTAAAATGATTAAAGGTACCCGACACTTATTTTATTATTCCACGAAAATTCGGAGCAGTGGCGGCTCAGTGAGTATGAGGTCCCGAGTTTGATCCCGGTGTTGACTGAGAAAGTTCCCAAGGATTTTCCGACCCGTTTTCCCCTTGTCAGTGGTGCAGGACGGAGGGCCCGACAAGGACAGTGTCTAGTCGTTCGAATGATGCAAAAGATTGAGGCCCCATGTACACATTGTAGTTGGAATTCGCAATAAGAGTAGGCCGTGGAGTCGCTGTCCGGGCAAAACTTCCCGCATAGCACACTGTATGGTGTATGTCTCTCCTCATTGGCTCATCCGGTGCAGAAAATTAGGATGTTAAACCCTATTTCATTTCAACTAAAATTAAATAATCGCCCAGGGCGGCACAAATTCTAGCCACGCCCTGCTATATAGGAAAGTTGATGGTGAAAATTGGCGAGAGGGGGTGGGGTGGGGTAGATAAATTATATTTTCACGTTTAAGTATCATTTATGTTGTTATGATAAGAAGTGCTGATTTAACCAAATTGTTATCACTCGCTGAAACAACTGATTCATACTAACCCGCGTACTCTTATTGTTCTAACTACATTTCTATAACTACATAAACATCTTTAATACATCTTGTAAAATATTTAATTCTTACAAATACACGTCTTCATCGTTATCATTAATTGTTGTTTCCTAAAACTGCACCAGTTGATAAACCCCACCATTTAAGAGGATTAAAATTTACTCAGTATTGATGACAAGAGTTTGTACAATTTAAGGTATAAATATGGGAGTGAGATGCATTACGCTATATAAAAGAAGCACCTCCTGTAGAATAAACGTCACCTCCAGTAAAATTCTATTTTCTTTTAGATAATAGGTAAGTGTGATTTGTGTTTTGCTAAATATTTTTGATCCAAGTATCGCAATATTTCCTATATTTCTGTTGTTATTTTTTTTTTATGAAACTGTAATTGAAAATAATCTGTAACAAAGCAAGAGGAAAAATAGCCAGTGTTTCAGAACATAGTATAATTTTGTATTTTCGCCTCAGTGGACTAAGGGAAACAACTCTATTTATAAAGCTCGCGAAAGCAGACAGCGCTCAGAGATGACGAATATCACCAATACAGTAGTGTGTGTAATGCTAGCAAGGGAATCAATGTGTTTGTTGTTACACTGATAATCACAGCGAAGCTATAGATTGCGTTTTATTCCCCAATGTCTTTATTTAATAATCCCACCTTCGAACTGGTCAGGAAATATAATTTAGACGACATGAAAAACTAAACAGATGTAGATCTACTTTCAAACATGTATATGTCATTAACGGGCCATTTGCGGCCTGTGACCATGGATTGGTTTAGTGTGAATTTTTTCCCTGTGCTAATGTCAACAGCGCGCATATTTCGAATGACACTTTGTCTGATAAATTTCACCCCATTTAAATATAATTGCGGACCTCGACATTTTAGAAAAAAGATATGGTAAATGATGCAATATTTTTATTTATTTCAAAATTTAATAGTGGCACTAACTCCTTTGTTCTCGGATAAATGAAATTAAATTTCTGTCTGGAGTTTTATCTGATTAACAGGTGTTTTATCATTGTTTAAATATTTTATTGACAAAAATATCAAAACGACCAGACACAATTTGAATAAAGACAGAAAAAAAAATATTTGCAATACAGATTTAGGTGAGTAAATAGTTGACTATAGATAATAAAAAAAATGTATATAGATAACAGGGGCTAGCGAAAATTTACAAAGGTGAATATAGGAGATTCAGTATAGAAGAAATGTAGCAATATAGTCGTGGCGACATTGTTTTTAAATTTATAGACAAAGAATAGAGAAATAAGATAGCTGTATATTTCATTAATTAATATATTTGGCAAGTTAGGAGTTTCAAACATATTCACATATATATTATAATAGTGTGTGTAATTAAATCAACTTAGGGTATAAATGACATATTGTGATATAAAAAAGAGTTATATAGCCACAACATAGCTAGATCTATATGTCAACAACATGTTAACAGATATCTCATGGGAATGTTCTTCAGTAAATTTCCATATAACCATATAAGGGTGAGTTTCGACGTCATCGTGCTCAATTAACCAATCTCTCAAATTATTTACATCATATTTGACCAATTAGATAAATGAATGTCCTAAACCAGTAGATACAAAATTATAATGTTCGTGAGAATTCACCAGACAGCAGATTGGTTCTAGAAGGGAAAAGATGTAGAAGTTTCTATTCAGCAGACTCGCCCATATCGAGTCTGGCTGGCTAGGGTTTGAGAATGACTTTATTCTATTATGCTTATATCCATGTAAGCAGCTATATATATATAAAATATAAAAGCGAACTGTTGCATTGTTGTTCCTGGTAAGACAAACGTCTTAAGAAAACAGTAAGAAGTAAATACACAACGTGAAGCAGAAGTAAAGACAGATAGAGGCAAATTCTAGACGATCATCTCAAGGCTACTAAGATATGTAGTAAGAAAAGATGCATGGGTGGTACGTAGGATGTGGCGACCGGTTTTTAGTATCCCCGCTTTCCATGTCAGACAGAAAGGCCCATGGTGCTACAGAAAGGGCAATTTTAATAAAGGAATAACAATAAGGAAACAATTTAAGGAATATAAAGATTGAGTATAAAAGTAAGAAAATAAGGAATATATGAGACTGGATATAAGAGTAAGGAAATAAGGAATATATGAGATCGGGTTAAAAAGTAAGGAAATAAGGAATATACATGTATGAGGTTGAGTTAAAGGGCAAATCCTGATTATATTTTGGTGAATAAAACTGCTTAATTTTGTATTAAAAATCCTTACCCCGAGCAACAAACTCAATATGTGATACGTTTTCAAACAACTTTAACCCGCCAGTCTCCATATGAAAATGTTGACCGGTGTCCCAAGCTGTATTATACCGTGACTGGATAAAACCAAACTTTTCTTTTATAAAAAAAAAGGTGTAGGTGAAATTTATATTTCGTTATCATTGATCATGCACTGTAGACCTCTAAAGGAGCGGCAATAGATTATCAGGTCACCCAATGAAAAAATTGTCCCGAAATCTTAAAAGGGTTACGTGTCCGGGTAAGTGGTTTTGACGTTCACGTCTCAACGACTCGATATTTTGAGCTGAAATTTGGAGACAGGGTAAATACACCATTCCTCTAAATTTTGGCGCTTAAATTTCATATGTAAACCGACTTTTATTTTTGAGGCTCTGTTCAACTCGGTATGGTCCCTTTAAACAGAGAAAGAACAGAATATATGAGATTGAGTAAAGTAAGGAAATAAATAATGGGGTTTAACGTCCTACTGTTCTGCTCCTAAACTGGGCTAATGAAGACGGGCATACGCCATACAGTGTGCTATGAGGGGAATTTTGCCTGGACAGCGGCACTACCGCCTACTCTTATATCGAATTCCAACTGTCAAGGGATCTTTAAATTGCATGCCAATGTGTACACGGGGCCTCAGTTTTCCGTCCCATACGAATGACTAGACAGCTGTCCTTGTCAGGCCCGCCGTCCTGTATCACTGACAAGAGGGAACCACGCCGGAAAATCTGGATGAACACCCCATCTCCAGACTAGCGAGCCAGCGTCTTATCCACCGTGACCCCCAGATAATCTAATAAACTATTCAATAGTTCCACACGAATTGCATCATACTGTAATGAGGATACAGTATGTTTCGTGGATATATTCATTCGTCCCTTTAGTAATTCATATGTCCCTTTATTAGTTCATTCATTCATCTAATGTCCAATGTGTTGTTTCGGTACCTTATTGTAATCTCAAACGATTTGTTTGAGGTTTTTTTGCGTTGTTTAAGTTGTTGTAAAAGTACAAAATTCGCAAAAGGGCGTAGGGTGAAAATCAAGAATTATTTCAACTCATATGACAATAATTTATATCGATATTTGATAATATACCGTTATTTATGCCAGACTGTCATTTTTAATTGAAAATTGCACTGTTTTTTTGTGTCAAACAAAAATTCCCCTCAAAATGCGATTTCCAAGCAAGAGATTTCGACTAATACAGGAGTTATGTCCCTTGGTTCCTGTATATAATCAAATATAGACATAAATCATTATGATACGAGTTGAAATAATGGTGGATTTGGGTAGATGTGGGTAAATCGTGCTACCGTTTATAATTGTGTTCTAAATTAATAATTTAGGTTCATATATAACCAGCTGAGGAATACACCAAAACTTGGAGTATTAAAAGTTATAAATTGGACATTGGGTTTAACCACAGAGGTGTATATATACAGGCCCGTAACTAGCCCCCCCCCCCTCCCGTGAAAAAATTGTCGACCATATAAAAATAGATATACCCCTGAGAACACTTCCCACCCTGACGTTGCTCTGAGCTAGTAGTTACGGCCCTGTGTTAGTATATGTCCTCCATGTCCATGGGTTTAACACCCGAACAATAACCCCCATATCTTTACAGAAAATATAACAGTATATCATAGTTTTCTGTAGACAACAGATATTCACGGATATCGTATTTTGTCTTCTATCCATTATGCGAATATTTGAGATAGAGCCTACAATATTAACAAATAATTTGTGGATATCAGTGTCCACTTTCTTGTGGAGGGTTTCATAGTATAACATACTGGTCTACAGTGGATTTAAAAGATATTTTTAGTTTTGACCGGTTTTCCAGGTTGTTCACCGTTTCTCGAAAAAAACAAAAACCCAAAAACTTGTTTTACACGTAAAAAAGCCTACTCTGGATTTCGCTAGACTCGACAAAAAATAAACAGAATAACATTCAAAGAGAACGATTTTTTTTTATTATACATTATCCCAGTAAATGCAGAAAAGTAAGACCTTAAATTTCATTTCTTCATACGTACTTTTCCTAATTAGAGTGGTCGTGACTGTTTCCGCCTACTTGTGGTTGAATTAAACGAGAACAGACGAAAAGTTGTACAATTAATGTAACTCATATTAAAACTATTTCCGATGGAAAGACAAAGATGGCGCGGGAAACGGGGAAATAGGTTTAAAAGGAATTTAGTCTCCCGCTGAGAAATATGTAATCTTATGGTGTGTCGAATTGCCTCAGTGAACGTAAACAATGAAATTAGTTTAATTTCGGGACAGCCATCTTACTGTAGTATAGCTTAATATCATGTTACCCACTTCTGACACATAAGATGTACATGTGGCACCCATGCAATTTTACCATCTTATTCAGTTTGCCTGGCTTTAACCAGGTTTGTGCAGAATAAGATTGGTGCTAGTAGCAAACCAGGAACGTGGGTTTACTTTATTCCATTGCTGCCTGACCCCCATTGGCTTGGTTATATATAGTTCTTTTTGTAGACGTGGAAGCTTGAAGAGTATATTCGTGGCATTAAGAAGTGAACATCTTAGAAGAAAGGTTTGGAATTGAAGAATAAGTTGGACAAAATGAAGAATTTATTACAAGGACTCTGTATTTTGATCTGTTATACATTTACTCAGGTAAAGTTGATATTTTGATTTCAAGAATAAACTTTTGTACAAAAGTAGTACAAAACTTTCACCGGTCGCCATATAGATAGAGCGCGTTGTCCAATAACGGTGCCACGTTGCACGAATTCCAAACAGTGGCTCGGTGGTCATTCACCTTGGTAAAACCATTGCTCGATTTGAAGTTATTGCAATGCTGAATCATCGATTTAAACTCACGAAATTATTAATATTTAAACAAGTTTTGATCATATTTGGTCACATTGACCGACGTTTGCACAAACAAAAAAATGCGATCATTATCGTAAGAAAAGTTAGTTGGGGTGATTCTAAAGTCTTTTTTATGAAGAAAAGTAACAAAAAGTAGTTTATTTAGTTCTGAATTGCATAAGAATGGCTTAATTGTAATTGTAAGATTAAAAAATAAGTAGAAAACATTGGTTCAGATTGTGAAAATGGTAATGGAACCGACACGTGGCACTTTAATTTTAGGTCGAAAAGTCAATGCCAGAGAAGCTAGAAAACGTAAACACTGTTGTAAACACTTTCTGTCTCTGTCTATCCACTGATGCAAGCATAATATATTATCATGTTAAAATAGGTCAAGTTTCAACCAAATCTTTGGAAATGTCTTGGCAACATTTGTTTTCTATTCCAAGGTAGCCACTGTTATAAGTACATGTAGTATCCCAAAGGTCGTGTCTGCCATTTTTGTAGGGAGAATTTATTACCTGGAGAAATGAGGGATCCTAATAAAATCTTTGAAATAACATTTGAAATAATTTTTTTTTTTAATTCTTTTTTTTCAAAGGCTGAGCTTTTGGTAACCAAGCAGGTCTTTTTTGATGTGAAAATTGGAGAAGAAAAAGTTGGCAGAATTGTTTTTGGTTTATTTGGAAATGTTGTTCCTAAAACTGTTGAAAATTTCTACCAATTAGCTACTGGTGAGCCAGGCTATGGTTACAAAGGAAGCAAATTTCATCGAGTTATTGCTGACTTCATGGTTCAAGGTAGGTGAAGTAGTTTAAAATCAATGGGTTTTAAATGCCCCTTGTCTTTAGCAGGACACTTGTTTGAGACTTATTTGCTAGTCTTAAATGACTGGCAGTGAAATTTATAGGCTGGAGAATCAGTCAATTTGCAGTCTACTCTTCTAAGAAATAGATTAAGATACATACAAATAAATCTATATAGAGCTAGATTTATATAGAGCAAATGTACAGATCACACCATACAGATTTCTTCCAGCTGGTCCAAAAATGCTGGCTGAATGAAATCAAGATCATTGTAAGAAAAATTGACAGTTTTCACAATAGAATGGGGGGTGGGGGGGTGGGGGGGGTGGTGGTGCTAAGTAGGAATCATCAAGTAAACCTTGGGCTAGTGAAAATTTTTATAGGCCTGAGAGCTTATTTCACCTTGATACAATGACTTCTAAACTGATGTAATGTGACGCAATAGGAGGAGAAAAAAACCCTCACAAGCCAATTGGTGATCTTAAACTTTTCCAAATGGGTAGGTTTAAAGATAGAATATTTGAAATGGCAATTTTTCGACTCCTGAATATAATGAGATAAAGCTATTAATTCATTTGATCTTGGATGGAAAGGATAAGTGTATAGCCCAATCTATTTAATTTACAGGTGGAGATTTTACTAAAGGTGACGGTTATGGAGGAAAGAGCATTTATGGTGAAAAATTTGAAGATGAAAATTTTGAATTGGATCATTATGGTGCAGGATGGTTGAGCATGGCTAACTCAGGTAAAATAATTGACAAGCATATAGTTTTACATTCAAATTATTTTGCTATGGTCTTACAACGAGCGATTGCTGTTTTGTAAGAAGGTCAGGAGTAGTACAGACATATTGTGTTTGTGGTGGTTGGATCCAGAAGAGGCCCAACTGATGGACTCCTAAGACCAGAAATCTCAATGGAAAATAAGCCCCCTCACACCTCCCTAAAACAAATTATGGCATAAAGAAGGAAGGAGTGTAGGATCCCACCAGCACTCCTACACTTCACATCAAAGCATAGATAAATAGATCGGTCATACATATAGTATAGATAAATAGATAGATCATACATATAGTATAGATAAATATATAGATCATACATATAGTATAGATAAATAGATAGATCATACATATAGTATATATAAATAGATAGATCATACATATAGTATAGATAAATAGATAGATCATACATATAGTATATATAAATAGATAGATCATACATATAGTATAGATAAATAGATAGATCATACATATAGTATATATAAATAGATAGATCATACATATAGTATAGATAAATAGATAGATCATACATATAGTATAGATCACAGACACCACAACTGGATATATCATATATATATATTTAACAAAAGGATCTGTTATCTATATGAAAATAATCATACAGCATATAGTTTCCTGTATCTTTTTTAGCAGGTTAAATGTAGTACAAATGTAGTGAAATTATCGAGAATAGAAATCATTCTTGATTCAAGATGTCCTCCGTTTTGGTGAGATATGTCCACATTGATGGGAGGTGAATTGGTGATTTAAAATGGAGTAACAATTTCCGATTTTTAAGGAATTTACTTTTCAGATTAAAAGCAGAAAGTAACTTTTTTTTTTTCCAATTTTGGGGTTTATTTTCGATAACTTTACCTTTAAAAAACTTTTCATATGAACTATGAAATACAAAGGTTCAAACACTTTAAAAAATTAATTTTTGAAAAATATTTTAGAACATCAAGTTTGTTCACTTGCCAAACCAAACTAGAAAAAAATATCAAAATATTTCTTAAATTTTTTACGTGATTTTAATTTCAGGTGTTGACTCAAACCGATCTCAATTTTTTATTACCACGGTTAAAACCAGTTGGTTGGACGGTAAAGATGTTGTCTTCGGTAAAGTTTTAGAAGGTATGGATGTCGTTAAACGTATTGAAGAAGTATCCACAGACCCAGAATTAGACAGACCAAAGATAGACATCGTTATCGAAGATTGTGGATCCATTGAGACAGATCTTCCATTCCCTGTAGAGAAGAGCGGCGTTGAAGTATTTGCATGAAGAGTTTATGAAAATACGACTAACAGTATTATTTTGAACTCTCACGACAACAAATACTGAATTGGTGTATAAAGATCAGACTTTATTTAAGAAATATATCATGAAATATTTTGGCTACATATCAGAATCTGTCTACCAATCATAATATTTATCTATATTACACATGAAGTGAACAAGGGTTTGGGTTTGGGAAAGGTATCACTGTTAGAAAAAGACAGATTCTGAAATCGACCCTTTATCTTAATATATAAAGCTGCGGATCTGCAATTTTGGGACAATATCTAATTATTCATGCCCAGTTTTACTCTATATGATTATTTCACATTTAATTAAGAAAACAAAACCAGTTGGATTAAAAGTATGAACATCAAAATTTTTACCTAAGACTAAGGGAAGATATTGGCTTGTTTATATTATCTGCAGAGGATGCTGAATGCTGAGAAATTTTTAATTCATCATATCTTTGTAAATACTGAATGGAATTGAACCATTTTTGGACTGATATTTCTTTTAGATATCCAACTTTCACAATATTATGAAGGGATTCAAAATCACTCAAATGTCAATCATTGGCTTTAATTACTTTAAATCAAAACATCGATCAAATCCTCGGAACAAAGAAATATGGAAATAAATTCCAATCGAAAGAACTTGAAGAAAAATCCTTGTGCTTTAAGAACTTGTATAAATACATTTTATGTGGTCGTATTTTATTGTATTAATTTTTGTAAAAATATATATTCATATTCACATTTTAATTTCAAAGCGAAATTGTCATAGTTTAATTTTCCGTCCGAATATTTAGATTTCTAGCTACCACGAACAACGAAGTAGTTATATCAGTGGTGACAGTGACAATAAAATTAAATAGATGTTGTAATGTTTAGAACATATAAGCCTACATACTGTCCTTAATTATAGCTTCCTCAGGACAAACAGTTTTCTTTCTAATTCATGGCACAAATGTACATATATTCCATTGTTTGTAGTTGCGTTTATTTGTATTTTCATTTTTATTTCTGAGCAATGATAAGTATTGCTTGAATTATTGTTATATTTTTTACAATTTTTTTCGTAAATAACTTTGTTATGGAAATAGTAATAAAATATGAACAGAAATTATATTTTTTTTTCCTTTAAATATTGGATTTAGTGACAAATATTCAGGCTTGTGATAGTCAAACAGCTGGCAAATACACTGGTGTAGCAAAAGGGATGTGCTATTTTGCTCAAGATTTCCTCTAGAAGCAAATAAATGACAGGAGGAACAAATTAAGCACAGGATGCACAAATTGAGGACAGGATGCACAAATTGAGCACAGGAGACACAAATTGAGGGCAGGGGGGCACACATTTGAAACTGGGCTAAAATTGTAGGCATGTGACAGACAAACATCTGTCAGATGGTTGTGGTGAGTTTCCCCTAGAAGAAAATAAAGGACACAGGTATAAATTTGATGGCAGGGGACAAACATTGATCTCCATTAGAGGGTAGAAGACACACAATTGAGAGTGGGCTATAATTGAGACATAAAATGTCTGTCTGGAAGGTACAGAAGGCGTAAAACCTTATAGAAGACAACAGACAGATTATTTGATATTATTTTGCAAAAATTGGGAATTAGAACCTGTTTAAGGTTAAATCAGTGTACAACTGCAATATTTAGGTCACTTTGGAGATGGGGGGTTGGATGGCCGAATGGTTAGCACGTGCGCGTGCTGTATCATAAGGCCTGTCATTGAGTCAACTGGCGTGGTCTCGAATCACTGGTTGTACGTGACAAGGAGTAGGGTTGCCTGTCCAACCTCGTGGGTTTTCTCTGAGTCCTCTGGTTTCCTCCCACTGATAAAGACCCCTACGCACAAGCGAATTATGAAATAAAATTAAACCATATGTTAGTCCCGAAATTACCTAGTTTGTGTCGAGTGGAAGTTAAACCCCATTTCTCTCTCTCTCTCACTTTGGAGATAAAAAGCACAGGGTTGAGTGTCCTTCAATCCAGGTTGATCCAACATCCAGATTAGATTGGAACTTGGCAATAGTGACACTAGCGCCTGATTTAGATGAAGATGCCCTAGGCTATTCATCTTACGAGGTCCGTCCCACTCGCCCACCCTCTCAACTAGAGGAAGTGTGTTATAAACACAATTGAACAAAGCCGAGGATGGTGACAGATGTGTAAGGCTAAAGTGCAAAACGCCAATAGCCGAATTCATTTTAATCGGATTGGTGTGAACTTGCCGTAAAGTGGGTAGGGTAACCATTGGCTATACATACATGCAATTTAGATTTTTCATCTTATGTGGTCTTTAATGAATGTCAAATTCATTATACACTTTGGTCAGAGCCTGCCTAGATCTTGAAGTACTGGGCTTTAGTCTGTGAAGCCCCAATAGGGAGAGAGAGAGAGAGATGGGGTTTAACGTTTCTCTTGACACAAACCAGATCATTTCGGAGCCAACACATGGTTCAAACTTATATCATTAATTTGCTTGCGCGTAGGGGTCTTTAGCAGTGGGAGGAAACCGGAGGACCCGGAGAAAACCCATGAGGTTGGACAGGCAGGTGGGGAATCGAAACCACGCCACTTGACTCAATGACAGATCTTATGATACAAGATGCACACGTTAACCATTCGGCCACCCAACCTCAATAGGCATATCAAGCATTGGGTGACAAAGAACACATGTTTTCACCTCTGCAATATTCATAAGTTTTGGTACAGATTTTATAGGCTGCATATCCTACCAGTATTTATCCAGTTTACATTGGTCAGAGATAAGTGAGAGAGATGGGGTTTAACTCCACTCAGTACAAACTATGAAATGAAATGGGGTTGAACTTCCTACTCTGACTGGGCTAATGAAGATGGGCATACACCATACAGTGCGCTATAAGGTGAATTTTGCCCGGATAGCGGTGCTACGGCCTACCGTTACAATTTCCAACTGCCAAGGGATCTTTTAAGTGCCATCCAAATGACTAGTTCCCTGTCAGGCCCTCCATCCTGCACTACTGACAAGCGGAAACCATGCCAGAAAATCTCTGTCAACCTTTCGGCCAACATCAGGATCAAACCCTCGACCTCCAGGCTAGCGAGCCAGCATCTTACCCACTTAGCCACCGTGGCTCCTCAATACAAACTATGTTAATTTGGGACCAACATATTATCATTGCCATTTCAATAATTCACACATCTTTAGTTGTGCTAAGAAACTGGAGGATATGAAAAGAAAAACCCCACATGATTGGGCATATGTCCCAACTCTTTGTCACATATAAGCTTGGGATGGAAACCATGCCACATGATTCAATGACAGTCACAGACCTAATGATATAAGATGCACCCGTTAGACTGTTAAACCTTGGCAAAATCTCAAAAAAAACCTTCAGGAATCAGAAAATCCTTCCTTCTCCCATTGTGGTAACTACAAACAATATTTCTATATTCATAAACTCTGATTTATTTATTTATTTAATTCAATAATATATGTTGTATAAAAATAGATACAGAATTATGTTAATGTTGGGAGAATATAATGAACATGAGGTATATGCAATCTTAAATATATAAAAAATAAATGTTGCATAACAAAATGAATCTTCATTGGTCTAAATTAAGTAAAATTATTTGAACTTGTCTTTGGCACATTTGGTGTTTCATATTTTATGAGTAAGATGTTAAAGTGTTGGTGTATCATTTTAGTGACGAAGGAATAACAGGCAAACTGCAATATTGTGAAAGATGAATCAATAAAAAAAAATGGCTTGATTCTGTCCAGTTACATTTATGTTGAATTGAAATTTCATCGATCTATTCTGTTTGCTATGTAATAAGCAGGAAGCAATATTGCGCAGTGGGAATAACTTGCAAACTACAATATTGTGAAAGGTGAATCTCTAATAGGAAGTCAAAAAATGGTTTATTGCCATTCAGTATTTCCTGAGTTATGTTGAATTGAAATTGTGTTGTATGCTAGAGAGAGAAAGAGAGAAATGGGGTTTAACGTCTACTCGACACAAAGTAGGTCATTTCGGAACTAACATATGGTTTAATTTTATTTACATAATTCGCTTGCGCGTAGGGGTCTTTAGCAGTGGGAGGAAACTGAAGGACCCGGAGAAAACCCACGAGGTTGGACAGGCGACCCTACTCCTTGCCACGTACAACCAGGGATTTGAAACCACGCCAGTCGACTCAATGACAGACGCTGTGTTGTATGAAATAAGACCATAACCATTTTGTTGTGGGTGAACTGAAATGTTAAACCTCTTCTTAAATCAAAGCCAGGAGGTAATCTATGTAGCGTTGGTATTTTGATCATATCAATCTGAGTACATTTTTAGTGTGGATTAAGCCATGAGTAATTTTAGCGAAAAAGCAAATGACGTTTCGTATCTTTAATATTCATTGTTTTGAAAATAAATCACAGTTCTAAAATCTAGTTGCAAAATCTCTAAGATATAATTCGTAAAATATGTTTGAAATATTAAATGTGATATAATAAAAGTGTTATGAAAACCATTACTAAACTATATTTAAAAAGAAAAACCCATTACAAATCCATGAGATAGATTTAATCGTATGTGTCACTTTGACTTCAAATTGATGACATTTCAATTACTGGACAATAATGAATTGATTGGTGAACACATTGCTCTGTTTGTTTATTCATCATCAACTTCCACGCCTTCCTTCATTACAGTCAGTTGTTCTTCAAGGGCTAGCATTCCGCAATTCGATATAACAATATCCTCGATTGGTCGATCCATTGAATTTGTAGGTGCCGATTCAATATGCTTGACAACCTGCATACCTTGCAATATTTTACCAAAAACAACATGGCGACCATCTAACCATGGTGTCTTAACAGTTGTGATGAAAAACTGAGATCCATTTGTATCCTGACCTATTAAAAGAAATGTGTAAAATAATACTGACTTCATTTCGATATATTAATAAGGGGCAATAATTACTTTAGTTATAACGAGGATGTGATTATAGTGTTAATTAACCACACTATATTAAATTTAATGGTATTTAATTCTCACTTCCATTAGACCCTTACAATACACGTTCTCGCTTTGATGTACAGAAGACTTGTGCATGCTTTACTATGACAACTAGATCTACGGGTGCACATATACACACACATCTCATTACTATTTATATAAATATCTCATTACTATTCATATATACAAAGGTCATGAATATTCATGTTAACAACTAGTACAGTTCAGTCTCTGATGTAATAGTCATTCAACATTTACCATTATATTACTACTGGGTGGTTAAGTGAGTAAGACCCTGGCTTGCTAGCCTGGGGGTCGCGGGTTCGCTCCCAGTGTTGCCCGAGAAAGTTCATCAGGATTTTCTGGCGTGGTTTCCCCTTGTCAGTGATGCAGAACGGAGGGCCGAGAAAATTCGAGATTTTTCGAAATGGTTTCCCCCTTGTCAGTGGTGCAGAACCCAGGGCCTGACAAGGACAGCTGTCTAGTCATTCGGATGGCATAAAAAAACGAGGTCCCGTGTACACATTAACTATCGTCAATGAGGGGGCAAAACTCCCCATGTTATATCGAAAATGGTACAATGATTTGTGTAAATGACTTGGGTAGATTTTGCGTTTCTATGATGATATACGTCTGTAGAATGTTTGTCAATATTGTTAGTCAAGGGAAGATTTGTGAGAGGGGAAAGAGAATGGTGCATATTGTTTTAAAAATGCTCAAAGACAAAGGCCTTGGTAAAATAGACAATTGTCAAAAAACCCCATTAAGCCAAGTATATATGATTGAAGTCTATTGGGACAATCAAATTCAGAAGCAAATATTTACAGATTGAGGCTTCACATGAGGTTTTTGCCAAAAATTTGATTATCTCCCTTAGTCCCTTATAGTACGATTTAATAGACTTTAGGCATAAGATTGCTTTTTTGAACGATTTTCAAATTTACAAGGTGTCAGTGTTCATAGACCCTTGTGTCCATAAAATTACTCCTCTCACCTACAAAGAGTTTTACATACTTCTTCAAGCTGTAGGCCTAATCATTATGAAAATGAATCTTGACAATTGTATAGCTCATAAGAACAAACTAGTTCGGATGGAATGATGGGTTTATTAAAAGAATAGCATGGACATTAATATAAATTGTAAGTTGAAATTCGTTGGTGAAAAGTTAGTTTAATGGAAGATTATGTTAGAAAAGGAACTGGTTACAAAAGTAGAAATGAAACAAGTGTTTTTAACCTCATACTTTTCTTCTGCAACCACTTGGCTAATGAAGACAGGCATATGATAAGCACAGAAGTTGTACCTGGACAATAGTGCTCCAGCCTACTTTTATTCTGATATCTAACTGTGAGGGGATATTTAAAGACTAGCTCACAACCTGCCGTACATGCTAATACGAGAGGGAATTTTAGTAAAACCGTGTGTGAGTCTTACACATCACTTGCGTGTGTTCGGCACCGTTTAAGATCACAGACTGGTCGTAGAGACTTTTGGTCCTGCACATTTTTACCCGGTTTCCTGTGGCTGGTTTGCGATCTACCAAACCCTACAACCCGAGCGTGTCAAAACACGTACAGCGGATTGTGATCTAGGCTTAACATGATTACAATGGTAGGAATATGGAAAGCATTATAAAACTTATATAATAACAATGAGTATGTCATACATAATAATACTCAAGACAGCCATAACATCTTCTTGCTATCCATATAGTATTAAATAGCTTCTTATCTAGACACCAGACCAGAGCATTTGTAAGAAATACAATTGCTGTTCATCTTTGAGCAATGTCCTGACTAGCATTTTTTAGACTTTTTCTTAAGATAATGAATTATTCATGTAGTCAGAATGTTGATCAATAACAGACAGGAATTGTAGTTCCTTACAATTGGTCAACTGTGGATCTAGTTCAAGAACTAAATGACATTGAAACAGCTTATATTATGTATAAAAACTATCAATAAAAGTCTAAACTTTGGCAAAGGAGCTATTAGTTACTATTAGGATAGCAGAGGGTTATTTAAGCAATCAGGAAGGATGCAAGCTATTTAATGGGAAGGCATTGATGTTTTTTGGGGGGAGTATGTTAAATTTACAAAAGATGCATAACAAACAACTTTCTAAAATATCATATATAAGTACAAATGTAACTTGTCTAGAACACCTTATATCACATAGCTAACAATTTTAACTTTGGAAAAACCCACATGAACTATTTTGGCCTAGGGAATGAAGATGAGTGTTTTTCCAGCTTAAGTACAAAATGTCATTAAAACAAAGGCACTATTTTGATACAAAATGACTAGACATTTAGGTAGAAATAAATCCATGCTTTTTAAGTTCATGATATATCAGCCACCTTTTATTACACCTTGACAATGTGAATATAAACACATAAAAAATAATATCCACTTGTTAAGAAATATATAACATATAGCTATAAAATATATTAAATGCATAGATCAAATAATTTTATTGTTTCTGAAACATTCTCCAGATTATTAAATGCTACTCCACTAGTTTACTGGCAAGACATGCAGCGAAGGTCCATTTTTTTTTTCTTAATAGCACTACAGGTCCATATTTTTTTTTAATAGCACACAAAAGGTCCATATTTTTCTTAATAGCACTAATAGCACAGAAAGGGTCCATATTTTTCTCAATAGCACAGCAAGAAAAAATATCCCAAGTTACATAAATGACATTTTTATACGACACAAGTTGGGCCTAGAACAGTATTAGATGCTACCACTCCTAGTTCTACCAGTCGAACTGAAATTGGACTATAATTTCCTTTAGTTTTATAAAATATTGTTGTTAACATCAGGACCAGATTAATTTCAAAACCAAAATAGCAGTGCTATTATCAAAAATATTTCCTTAGATATCAATATCAATTTATCAATATTAATTTATCAAATATATCAATATTAAAGGAGCTAAATCGCTAATATTTGGGACCTACAAATTGGCACAAATGGGTCGCAACGTATATAATAATGTAATATGAATGTAAATAAACTGATTTACATTCAGTCATTTACATTTCAAAGCAGTTCCGTTCGGCGAAATAGGCCAGTAGTCTCAATCGAATGGCAATCTCTAGCGTCTGGTTATTCCAATCTACACCGATAGTATTTATTGCGCATGCTCTCTAGATAAGAATATGAAGTCACGGTTTGACATGACTTGTGGAATATGTTTAACCTCGTTCTTCGAGTCGCTTGTTACAAATTGTGCTGAAACGCATTATGGTACACGATTCGTGTACCAATCGTAAAATGTTTATTTTGTCTTAAATATTGGATATCAGATGCCCATCTTTTCTCGGTAAGATCACAACACCAATGTTGATTAAAATTAACAACTAATTCGTGTTTCCAATGTCGAAGGTTTTGGATGATATTGAGTTAGAGACTTAGCTACTTTAATTTATCAGATATATCAATATTAATTATCAGATATATCAATTTATCAAATACATGTACTGTATATCAACAATATCAATATCAATTATATTTTTAAATAATAACATCAAATATATTTCCATTTAATTAATACCAATCATATTTCTATATAACAAATATTAAATATAAATTTCTATATAATTAATATTAAATATAAATTTCTATATAATTAATATTAAATATAAATTTCTATATAATTAATATTAATATCACAAATACAATCTAAAGCCCCAAGTGTTTATCTGCTAATAAAATTGGTTGTATCTACTTCACTACATTCATACAACTCATAATAATCATATCACACTAGAAATTTTAAAGTACTTTTTCCAATAAAGTAAATACTTTTAGTTATGATCACCAACAAAATGCCAAAAGAAGCATTTGGTCGATTTTGAATGACCATGATTCTAAACTAAAGTGTTTCCCCTACAGATTGCGGGGTTTGAGTCACAGATTCGTGAAATTTTAATATAAATTCTAAAATCAGCATGAAAAAAAAAATAATCAAATTTCAGTTGGGAAAGATTTTCTGCAATCATACACACACATTAAAGTAGGCACGGCCAGTTGGTTCTCAAGCAAATAAACCCTGTTCATTGCACTATATAGTATCAACCTAACGAGAAAACCATCATTATGATCTCTCAACAGAAAATTTTTCTCCCATTTGAACAACACCACTATCGTCAATGGTAACATCATTGTTAGGTCTATCAGAACGGCCAGTTTTAACTTGTTCAATTTTTCTGACTACATCCATGCCTTCTAAAACTTTACCGAATACAACATGGTGGCCATCAAGCCATTCCGTCTTAACAGTTGTAATAAAAAACTGAGAACCGTTTGTATCTTTACCTGAAATAGAAACAACAAGACTCAATGTCCTGTGCCCTGGTATACCTAAAGCCAAGTCATATTTGTTTCCATGGAAACACAAAAATTATTCAGGTAATTACCAAAAGAAATTTTGTCTGGACAGCTCTACTACGGTCTACTCTTCTATCGATGTCCAACTGGCCAGCTCTTTCTCTAAATCGTGCATATTGTTTCTTTAAATGAAAGTATTTCTTATTTTATTTAGACTGTTGCATATTATTACATACCCGGTAGTTTATGTCCTGGGTCAGGACATGATTTTGTATCAGGAACAAGGTCCCGTCCGGGTCCCCAAAAACAATATTTATATGGGTGGAAGTCCCTCCCAGTGCCACCAGGTAATATTGGGCTGTGTGGAACATGTTAAAGTCAATTTGTAGCACATCTGACCCACGGTATATGTTCGATACTGGTTAAAGGCTCAATACCACTCTTGTTGTAACTGAATAAAATGTCCCAATCTTTATTCTGGTCAACAAATTGTACTATTTTATAATATTCCAATTAATCATCTTAACACACCTAATTTAAAAACTTAGAAAAATTGTACTAAATGATTTGAAAAGCCTAACGTAAACCTTTTCAAATGTGACTTGGATTTAAAAATATTTTCGAACCCTCTGGACAAGTAAAATAGGATGTAATGGAAAATTTACACAACAGGTAGGACACCTAAACATCTAATACTTAGAATAAGGCTATTATTTATTTTCTGGAGCTGTCAAGCCAGCAAGAGTGTTATTGTCCCTTTAAGCATTATGATTGTAATGTTGAAAACCGCATTGAAACAGCATTGTTTTTGCCATTTGCAAGGGGGCAACAAAAACTCAAAACCATGATGCAAAGCACATCATTGCGTCTCCCACTTAGCCCCTGTCCTGGGTCAGGAGATATCAAGTTAAAATTATTACATTCTTACCTGCATTAGCCATGCTTAACCATCCAGGACCATAATGATTCAAATGGAAATTTTCATCTTCAAATCTCTCACCATAAATACTTTTACCACCTGTACCATCTCCTCTTGTAAAATCACCACCTAAAATAACAGTATATCTTTTATACAAACACTTAAAGTGGCATTATGGAAGATTTGATAAAGAGCTAATAGTTTTCGCTATAATAGTAAAAAATAGATAATGTAAAGGGAATATGCTGAAAAATTCAGTCAAACTACTTCACTCTGAGCCGAGAAATCCCCATTTCAATAACAGTCTAACCTTGATTGCCATTGTTACCGTTATGATACGAGCGTAATACACAAAGTCTCGATTATCCATTTTTAGGGTTAATCATCAACCACCGTTTTAACCGCTGATGGGATTCAAATCTGTTGAAAATCAGACCCATCAGATGGCATCGAGAGTTGATTATGGTCTTGTCATGTTAATAAATGTCTAATTAATAGTCTATATAACATTTAAGGTCTACAGAAAGACCCGCAATAGGCAGATGATTGTAGTCTTGCATAAGTAATATCACCACCTAAAAGTGATATGTTTTTTTAGTACAGCAGGTGATCCCGATTTAAAATGATTGCAAGATTTCTAAATTGTAGTGGTAACTGATTAATAGTGATGATCACATATTTCCTATGAGGGAAATTTGCCTGGACAGCAGCGATACCGCCTACCCTTATATCGAATTCCAATTGCCAAGGGATCTTTTAAATGCACGCCAATGTGTACACAGGTCACAGGACCTCGTTTTTTTGTCGCATACGATCTACCAGATAGCTGTCCTTGTCAGGCCCTCCGTCTAAGACTACTAGCTTTCTTACAATACCTTGAATCATGAAATTAGGAATAACTCGATGAAATTTGCTTCCTTTGTAGCCAAACCCTGGTTGACCTGTAGCTAACTGGTAAAAATTCTCAACAGTTCTGGGCACATCTTCACCAAATAAACCAATTACAATTCTTCCTGCATTTTCATCTCCAATTTTGATGTCAAAAAAAACTTTTTTTGTGACAAAAAGCTCTGCCTGAAAATTTAAAGATTTTGTTGGATTGTTCTGTGGGATGACAAGATAACTTCCACATAATGTTTTCCAACATTAATTTAATAATACATAATTGTTATGTTGGGGTTGATGTAGAAAACACTAAAACAAACAATATCATTTAAAGTAATATCCTTTATTCTAAGTGACTATTTTAGTATAATCAGAAAGAACTACTCGCTACGCTTTCGATATCTGTTTCCCTCATTGCTATACTAATGTCTAAACTTATATAGCCTTCTACATATCTAAATACATGAATATTTATGAGATACTACTCTCAGAACTAAACTGGTATTGTGAATGGCCTATGATATACAAGGATAGCACTATATAACACCATCACAAATTGATCTAAGACATCAGATCAACCAGATACAATGGTCTATATGTAACCCCATTTAAAGAATTATGTGCTTAATAATCAAGCCTGGAATTCAGCCCCCTGTCACAGACATAGTCAGACACACTCCTCCTGGTGCCCATCATTTTGTGCTGCATTGATTTGACTTTTTATGTGTTTTCTTGATATTTTTAATACACCACCAGAACTAGTAGATATGTCTACATACATGTACATGCAATGATTTTTTAAAAAAAAAGGGTGCCGGGGGGTGAAGGAAAGTCTTACCGAGCATAACAAGGCAAAACATTTTTTGGATGTGCAATTAGTTAAAATTAAAATAAATGAAATGAAATGGGGTTTAACATACTACTGTTCTGCTCCGAACTGGGCTAATGAAGACGGGCATACACCATAGGCCTACAGTGTTCCTACTCTTATATCGAATTCCAACAGTCAAGGGGTCTTTTACGTGCACCCCAAAGTGTACACAGGACCTTGGTTTTCCGTACCATCCGAATGACTAGACAGATATCCTTGTCAGGCCCTCCGTCCTTCATCACTGACAAGGGGAACCACGCTGGACTTTCTCGGCCAATGCAGGAATCGAACACCCGACCTTCAGGCTATAGCGAGCCAGCGCCTCACCCACTTAGCCACAAGTAGTCCAGCTCTGAACGTAGGTATCATTACACTATTTTAAGGCGGTGAGATAAATAAATAATATTGTATTTGTTAAAAAATCACATTGAGATGTGTTACATGATGTGATAATCCTGCGCGCCGTTCCTATTTCATTTTCAGTTGCAGACATATCTCGTCCCCTACACAGGGAGAGAGAAAAAAAAAAAATCCCAAGGAGAAAATGATAAAAAAAATTCGGACCGCAGCACCCTCTCACTTTAACAGCGTTTCTACTAGTACTACCGTCTACTGGTACTGCTATAATGCCCACGGAAGAATAGCGACCGGTTACCCTGTCACGTGACCGACTGCATTTAGAAACATCGTTGTGGCTATGACTTTTAGGTACCAAACTTTCAGAACAAAAAGCCTATTCCACACAATGACATAATATGTACTATCATACCTGACAAGCAGTATAAAGTGCCAAAAGGCAAACACCAAGCAGCCATCCGTTCATTTTTATTTTTTCGAGCTTCTCACAAAAGCCTCAGTGACCAGTCAACTAACCGCTTCAGACTCTAGTTACTCTGCCACGCAGTTCAGGTGGTTTTCGTTTACATCTCACCAGCCTCGGTTTCGTATTTTCTAAACACGCTTTTGTGTATTGAACTATCAAATTTCTTAAATCCATGAGTTTAAAGTTCGGTAATGCTATAATCGGTTCACTGTGTACCATTGAATGACAGTGTAGGGGCAAATTCGGACGCTAGCCTTGCCAATAATAGGCCTAATATTAATTAATAATTGTTTAAAGGGACCATCCCAATTTTTACAGAGTCTCAGAAATAAAAGTCTGTGTACGTAGGATATTTAAACGCTAAAATATAGCGGAATGGTGTATTTACCTTGTCTGAAAATTTCAGATCCAAATATAGAGTCATTTGGCTGTAAACTTGAAAACCGCTTATACATAAACCTTTTAAGATTTCAGGTCAATTTTTTCGTTGGGTGACCTGATAACCTATTTCATCTACACATTATTTTTTTAAAATACAAGTCTGGTTTTATCCATACACCATATAATACAGCTGAAGACTGACCGATTGAAGTTGGGTTAGTTGCTTGTCCTGAAGGTAGAGGGCTTTTCACACAAAATTAGACAGTTTTATTCTCCAAAATATAATTGAGATTGGCCCGTTAATTTATACTATAGCCTATTTAAAAAAATAAGTAAATGTCATTCATGATCTATTATAAATCCTTATTGTATACTAAAGAAATAGGCTATAATATCTGTACTAGCCTACTAGCTGCCTTGAATCACAGGGTTGAATCCAGCAGCTGGGCCATCTATTTTTGAAGCCTGTTCTGCATTTGTCAGATTTATGTCTAGTCAATCGAATGGAGAGAGAGAGAGAAATGGGGTGTCAACTCGACACAAACTAGGTCATTTCGAAACTAACATATAGTTCAGTTTTATTTCAATAATTCGCTGAGGAAACCCAAGGACCCAGAGAATACCCATGAGGTTGGACAGGCAACTCTTCTCCTTGTCATGTACAACAAGGGAATCGAAACCATGCAAGTTGACTCAATGACAGACCTTATGATACAAAGCACACATGCTAACCATAGAACCCTAAATTGGCAATTGTAAATCGAAGAAATGGAGTCATGCAGAAATGGGACTGCTGTCACAAAATTCCCCTAACCCGCATTGCACATGTAGGCCTATTCATAAAAATAAAAATTAGGCTACTATTTTTGTCCCAAAATGATCGATGTATTAGTCCTAAATTTGAAAAAAAAAATGTACAAAAACGAAGTGCAATGTCAGGTGCTGATGGGTTTTGTTAAACCCCCAAACACCAAGTCAAGGGTTCTATTTCCTTTATAGAGAGAGATCCACGACCAAACAGGGTCATTTTGGCACTAATGGTAGGCTTGTGCATAGGGGTCTTTCGCAGTGGGAGGAGCTCTAGAAGCTCTAGAGAAAACCTACAAGGTTAGGCATGTTACCCTACTCTTGTCATCTACAAGCATGGGATCGAAGCCACGCCCCCCCCCCCCTAAACTCAATGACAGACCTTAAGATCTAAAGTTCACATGTTAGTCCACTCAACTATTGAGCAGTCAAACGCCCACCCCCTACTCGTTTTCTTCCAGTATGGTTTCACCACGACAGTTGTGCATGACAGAGAGCTTGACAAGGACAGCTGTCTTGTTGTCTGGATAGGACAAAAAAAAAAAAAAAAAGTTCCTGTGTACACATTGGTGTGCATGTAAAAGAACCCTTGGCAGTTGGAATTCGATATAAGTGTAGGGCAATATTTCGTACTGTATTGTGTATGCCAGTCTTCATTAGCCCAGTCGGAACGGAAAGGTATGACGTTAAACCTGCGTTTCATTTTCTGGCGTGGTTTCCCCTTGTCAGTCATGCAGGACCGAGGGCCTGACAAGGACAGTTGTCTAGTCGTTCGGATGGGACAAAAAAACCGAGGTCCTGTGTACACATTGGCGTGCACGTTAAAGATCCCTTGGCAGTTGAAATTCGATATAAGAGTAGGCTGTAGTGCCGCTGCCCGGCCAAATTTTCCCTCATAGCACACTGTATGGTGTATGCCCGTCTTCATTAGCCCAGGTTAGGAGCAGAACAGTAGGACGTTAAACCCCATTTCATTTCATTTAATTTTAAATATATGTTTCAATTCATTTTCAGTTTATTTCCCCAGTTTTCTTCAAAGTTAGAATTGTGTGTCAGCATATTCTACTTAGTGCAAAGTCAAGTTCACCAGCTGTCTTCTTTTTTTAGTTTTTCTTTCAAACAAATAATTTCTCTTGAAATTGATCTATGGCTTTACTATGTTAACATGGTTTGTTTGTGGTGAAACAAGAACACACAGAAGTAAAAAAAAAGTGCCAAGTTAGGTCTAAATTAATATGTCAAAGTTCTGGTTTGAATGTTTATATTGGTCTTGACTAATTAAACAAATTAATTTTGTCATGATTTTGTAGGTTAAATAAATGGAGGTACACATACTTTAAAATATCTATGCTAAGCATTTCAAGATCCTGTGTAAACTATAGTGACTGGATAAAATATCTAAAGTTCAATTTCCTTTAAAGGGACCATCCCGATTTTAACAGAGTCTCAAAAATAAAAGTCTGTGTACGTATGAAATTGGGGGGGGGGGGGGGATGGCTGAATGGTTAGCGTGCGCGCGATTTATCATAAAGTCTGTCATTCAGTCAACTGGCGTGGTTTCGAATCCCCGGTTGTACGTGACAAGGAGTAGGGTTGCCTGTCCAACCTTGTGGGTTTTCTCTGGGTCCTCTGGCTTCCTCCCACTGCTAAAGACCCCTACACAAGCGAATTATTGAAATAAAATCAAACCATATGTTAGTCCCAAAATGACCTAGTTTGTGTCGAGTGGACGTTAAACCCCATTTCTCTCTCTCTCTCTACGTATGAAAATTAAACGCCAAAATATAGAGAACTGGTGTATTTACCTTGTCTGAACGTCAAAACCACTTATCCGGACCTGACCTGATAATCTATTACCGTTCCTTTACAGGTCAAAACAGTGCTGGTGCATGTTCTCTACTTGATAACAAAGGTAAATTTCACCTACACGTTTTAACCAGACACCGTTTTATACAGTTTGGGACACCGGTCTCCATTTCCAGGTTTAAGTTGTTTGAAAACGTGTCACGCATATTGAGTTTGTGCTCGGCCCTAAGATAGAGGGCTTTTCACACAAAATTAAGCAGTTTTATTCTCCAAAATATAGTCGAAAATTGGCCCATTAAGAGTTCTTGAAAGAAATATAACCAACTGTTTTCTCTTGGGCAGTCGGGTGTAGTTTTGTACGTGTTGCTTTAGCAGTGAGAGGAAATCGGAGAACCCAGAGAAAATGCATAGGGTATAACTTTGCATTGAAACCATTTCACTTGACTCAATGACAGAGCTTATGATCAAAAGCACATGTGTTAGACGACCCAACCTGGTTAGCTCTAAATATTAAGGCAACCTGCAGATTCCGTCAAGATCACGAGATGTAAACAGATCTAGCGCTAAACCTAACCCACCATCTCGTCAACAATCACATGCCCTTACCCTATTTACATCTTGTGACCGTGACGAAATCTGCAGGTGGCCTGGCCCACCCAAACCCCTGATAAGGTAGACAGGGATTGAAAACCTGGATAGTAAATCTGACCACTACACAACTGGTACAGTCGAGTGAATTGAGTCAACTGGCGTGGTTTTGAATCCCCGGTTGTACGTGACAAGGAGTAGGGTCGCCTGTCCAACCTCGTGGGTTTTCTCCGGTTTCCTCCCATAGCAAAAAACCCTTACGCACAAGCGAATTATTAAAATAAAATTAAAACCATATGTTAGTCCCGAAATGACCTAGTTTGTGTTGAGTGGACGTTAAACCCCATTTCTCTCTCTCTTTTACAGTCGAGTGAAAAAAAAGGTGAAAGGAAATAACTTGCAGTAACCTTTGTTCACTTCTGTGTCTCAGTGATAAAGGTGCTGCCTCTCTAACCCGGAAGTTTCTGTGTTGGCAGAGAAAGTTCTTTGACAGTGCTGCGTGAGTAAGGGCAAGGAATATCATATAGTTATTCGAATGGGACTAAAAAAACAAGGCCCTGTGCACACGTTGGCATACACGTAAAAGAACCCTTCTTGACAATTGGAATTCCAAAGAATAGAAGGTCGCATCGCCACTGTCCTGGCAAAACCTCTCTCATAGCACTATGCACCAGTGTATGCCTGTCTTCAATTAGCCCAGTTTGGGTAGAAAAGTAGAACGGAATATAAACCCCTTTTCATTTCATTTGTTCAGGCTAATGACTAAGTAAATATTTTTTTCTATATATAACATACAATTGTTGGTGATATCACTTCTGTGGAAGCGAATGTTAAAGATACATTAGTTAAGATTTTAATAAAGAGTTGGCCATTCTTGATATAAAAGATCAAAAATAGATGATAAGAAAAGAAAATACCGAATATTCATCAAAATTACTTTATTCTGATCAAAGTTATCACTGTTGGAAGTTTGGACCAGAAATAGGCATCAACTATCTACGCACTGTCTCTGAGACTTGCTGATCGTTTGATTGACAGACGATAACTCTGCCCACATATTCTCAATTATCAAGTAACATTCTCAATGCTTACATTACCCTCAATTATCAGTCCTTTCATCGGCAGTCTCTGAGGGTCTACAGAGTTGATTTTGGGCTTGTTTTGTAAATAAAGGTCTAATTAATAATTTCTATTACATTTGAAGCCTATAGAAAGATTTTCAATAGGCATATTTAGTTCTTAACCAATGTATCTTTAAATAAAGCTAATTCACATACACTCATTCATTCACTCCTGTTTGTAATACAGATAACGTCAATGTTGTCTCTAGCTGAAATAATAATAAAAGCCAGTATTATTTTCCATATTTTATTTACACATTGATTTTAACACTGACAGATGAAAGTTTGACATGTGATGATGATAATCTAGATGAAAGTTTAAAAGTCCTGGGGCCTTATGCAGCCTTTCTATTGGCTGAGAACTGCAATTTTTTACTAGAATTTAAAGTCTCAGCCAATGAAAATG